GCAAAGAATTCACGTCGTGATGTGGCATGAATAGAAGCTCCACTGTCAATCACCCAACTGGTCTCATGGCATGCGAGGTTGATCATTTCACCATCGATCATGATCAGAAACTCATGTCTTGCAACTGCAACTCGTTCCTCACCGTCTTGTTGCTTATTTCCTTTCTTATTGTCCTTCTTCAATTTCCAGCAATCCTTCTTGATATGTCCCTTCTTATGGCAATAGTGACACTCCACATTTGCAAATTTGTTAGATTTGCTCCTGCTCCGATTCTTCTCCTTCGGATTCCGATTCTGGCTCCTCCCCCTCGATTCAGATACCAGAATATCAGAACTCGAGGAAGCTCCTTGAGATTGTCGTCGAGTCTCCTCATTTAGAATACTGTTCTTCGCATATTCCATCGAGATGACACCGTCTGGAGCTGAATTCGACAACGACATCCTGAATGTCTCCCATGAATCCGGAAGTGTGCTAAGAAGCCATAAACACTGAACCTCATCTTCAAAAGTGATCCCCATATCAGACAACTGGTTCAACAGACCTTGAAACACGTTCAGGTGATCTGTCACCGGACTGCCTTCGGCGTACTTTAAATCGACCAACTTCTTGATGAAATACAGCTTGCGATTTCCAGTGTTTCGAGCGTACAACTGCTCCAGCTTACTCCACAAAGACCGAGCATTAGTTTCACCAGCCACATGATTCAGAACATTATCATCCACCCACTGTCGTATCAAGGCACAAACTTGTCGATGTAGCAATGTCCATTGCTCATCAGTTTTGCCCTCCGGTTTTTCCTCAACGAACAACGGTAGGTGGCACTCTTTCACGTATAGCAGATCCTCCATCTTGCCTTTCCATACGTGATAGTTGGTACCGTTTAAACTGACCATTCTACTAGTATTTGCCTCCATCACTCACACAAGTGCACTGCACAACCAAGGTGCTCTGATACCACTTTGTTAGGGTTTTTACCGTGAATCACAATTCGGTAAATAAGAACCTCTTACTTGTGTGAGCACGTTAGGATGACAATATCTAGTTAGAACAGAAATTTAAATGAGACAATCGTTTTAACGTGGAAAACCTCCTCGGTGTGAGGAGTAAAAACCACGGGACCGTAGTCCACCCAAAAATCCACTATAATCTCAAATTTCCGGGTTACAACGTCCACACTTCAGTCTCCAATAAACAAGAGATACACCCGAGACTTCCGAATATTAACCAATATTCAATCTCAATAAACCCGAAAGAACCAGCTGTAACTTAGGCAGCAAGCTAACCCCGTAACTTCTGATTCCGGCAACCAAATACCAACTTCTCCGTAGAAATCAAAAGCTCAGAGGGTGTAGAATAAGCATACCAAATTTCAGCTCAAACGGAGAAGAGATGAGCATCCGAATCTTCAACTTACTCGGACATGTGCTGCTGAAGCTCCAATGACGAACAGCTTCGGTAGAAACTCCGTTTCTCCAATTCTGACCGTTGGAATCAAAATTCCACCGGACAAAACCTAGAACAATGAGTGTAGAAGCTCTCCTCCAAATTCCAGTTCGATCGGATAAGGAATGACCATCCGATCGAGGCTTTGATCACAGCTGCACCAAACTGTTTTCTCTCCCTCTTTTCTCTCACTCTCTCTTTTCTTCTTTCTGCTCTCTTGCTTGGATTACGCTCTGTATGTGTTGATCTTCCCTGACGTTTGAACTCTTTAATTATAGAAAAGAAAAGGGTCCAAAGCAATGATCAAAGAAAACATCATCATGGTGTTTCACGTAAAACACTTTACCCATGTTTCACACAAGGTGTAAAACGCCTCATGCACATGGGAGGAAGACCCCACAGTTAGAGACTTCTCTCTGTCAACCGAAAGTCAAAGCCTCCAAATGAATCCGCATGATTAACATTCTCACGGCTGCAAATCCCCAAGCAGGCGGAGCCCATTTCACGACACCTCTTGGATCGGGGCTGGGCTTTCTCTCTTTTTTAGAATGTTAAATAAACAAACAAACATGAATTGACAGTTCCCGAATTTGGCGGGGAAACCACGTTCACACAAAAGTTCACGAGTCGTCTTCTGGCGACGAGGCTTTTGGTGGGCACATGGCCTGGCGAAAGCAATAAGCATATGATCTCTGCTATCAGCTTCTTATGGTTTCATTACAAAACCATAATTTCAGACGAAAACAAAAGTTGTGGTGATGATTTGCAATTAAGCCATAACCATACACTAAGGAGAACAATGCCTTTCTGTCAATTCGGGGATCAGTTCCAAATCTTTCTTGTCTTCTTCTCTCTGCAAATCTTTTTGTCATTTCTCCCCAAAAGCTCTTCGTCTTTCGAATCTCTCCCTCTCTCTCTTCAATGATTCTCCCAGCTCTCTCCCTTCACAAAACCCACGCGAAGCTTCATGTTCCCGATTCATCATCACTCCCATGAAAGCCAAACGTCTCGACCGGGATTTCCCTCCTTCCGACGATCCCCCCGCCGCCAAACGCCGCAAGGACGTCGATTCCGATCTCCATAACCCCCACGACACCGCGGTGGCCGCAGCTGACGGGGTCGAATCCACCGCAATCCGGCTCCTCCGCCTCCTGTTACAATGCGCCGAATATGTCGCGACGGAAAATCTCCAGGAAGCCTCGAGTCTGTTGCTGGAGATCTCGGAGATCAGTTCTCCGTTCGCTTCGTCGCCGGAGCGTGTGGTCGCGTACTTCGCGCAGGCTCTACAAGCGCGCGTGTTCAGCTCCTGCCTCGGCGCGTACACTCCACTCACCGCCCAGAGGTCACTCACCATGGCTCAGTCTCAGAAGATCTTCGCCGCCTTGCAATCGTACAACTCCGTCAGCCCGCTGATCAAATTCTCGCATTTCACGGCGAATCAAGTGATCTTCGAGGCGGTGGAGGGGGAGGATCGCGTCCACATCATCGATCTCGACGTGATGCAGGGACTTCAATGGCCGGCGCTCTTCCACATCCTCGCCTCCCGCCCCCGTAAGCTCCGGTCGGTGAGAATCACCGGATTCGGCTCTTCCTCCGTTCTCCTGGCGTCCACCGGCCGAAGACTCGCTGATTTCGCGGCGTCGCTGGATCTCCCCTTCGAATTTAACCCGGTGGAAGGGAAACTCGGAGACCTAACCGAGTTGAGTCTGAGTCAACTCGGGGTGAGATCAGACGAGAGCGTGGTGGTACACTGGATGCAGCATCGGCTGTACGACGTCACCGGAAGCGACGCCGGAGCTCTGGAGGCCCTGCGGCGAATCAGGCCGAGGCTGGTGACGGTGGTGGAGCAGGATCTGAGCCGCGGCGGAGAGAGGAGCTTCCTGGGGAGGTTCGTGGAGGCGCTGCACCACTACAGCGCGTTGTTCGACGCGCTTGGGGAGGGAATGGAGGAAGAAAACGCAGAGAGATACACAGTGGAGGAGCAGTTGTTTGGGAGAGAGATAAAGAACGTTGTGGTAGGTAGAGGGGAGAGGAAGGTGGAGAGATGGTGGGAGGAGCTTAGCCGGGTCGGGTTTAGACCCGTTTCGCTGCGGGGAAACCCAGCCGCTCAGGCGGGTCTGTTGTTGGGAATGATGCCGTGGAAAGGCTACAGTTTGGTCGAAGACAATGGAACCCTCCGTCTGGGTTGGAAGGATTTGTCTCTCCTGACCGCCTCCGCCTGGCTCTCTCCACCCTCCCCTTGATTTTTTTTTTTTTAAATATTCCCATCCCATGTATAATTTTTTTTAAAAAAAAAATACTTTTGTTTGAATGACAATAATAATCAATCACATTGGAGCAAAAAAAATGGAATGTGTATTTTAATCTTGAAAAAATGTATATCCTTTTATTTCATATATAAAAATGATATCAAATGAGGAAATCTGAAAATTATTTGGTTAGTTTGGATTTGAAAATTAATTAGCAAATGGTAGGTAACTGCAATTAAAGCCCAAAATAATATTGGATATTGATAAAAAAAAAGCCCAACAGGAATGATGGGCTGGCTATTCTCTACTTGTGGGGTCCATCCATGGGATTCTATATGGGCGTTAAAAATTTCAAAGGCCCAACTGTCTGTATATATGTATATGCATGCATTAAATAATTATATTAGTTGTAGATTTCGTTCCAATTTACGTACGTACCCTGACGTTGATATGTGTGCAAAACCGTTAACTAATTACAAAAGTAGGTTAATCAACCATATGTATAAATATTATCAAATCCAATATATATATATATATATATATATATATTTTTTTTTGGAAAACTTCTCTATTAAAAATGCTTCTTCTGAAAAACAAGTCCATAAGCACGTGTTCAAATTATACATTTGGAATTTTAAAAGTATGTAAGTGTAGAGAGAATGCATCTAACCACGACATTGGAACTAATTCATTGAGAAGATTTAGAAAGAAAATGAAGATACGGCGACTAAGTGTCGTTCTTATCTCTCATCTCAATCATATGGAAAGTAAGGGTTGACACGTGATATAATATATATATATATCCCAATTTGTGTTTTTTGTATGTAGACGCAATTTCGCAACTGCGTTTGGTCTCTCTCTGTCCTTTTGTTATTGTGTGATTTTGACGACGAGTATACGACACGTGTCATGTTCATCGGCGTCTTCTTCCGACGGTCGCATCAGTAATCATCTTCCATGTCTTTATTTTGGATTACCAATGCCACATGAACATAATCAGCTTGTCATTCCCATCCATTAAAATTTGGCCATGTGGCTATTCAGTTCGGTTTCGGTATTTAATTGGTTTGAGTTTTTAGATGGTCAGTTTCGGTTTGATTTTATTTTTTATTAAACAAATGTTTATTTCTTAATAAAATTTTTATTTTTTAGATTTTTAATATTGGGTTTGACTATATTTATTTTCTAAAAATATTTTCATTCAATATTTTTGGATAGTTCGATTCAAAGACGATAACAGAATTCTCGGCTCGATCGTTTTTTTTTATGAATCATAGCTCTTTTCGTGAAAAAAAAAACTATATAGCCAATTCTAGACCCTTTTACTTATCCATATAAAATTGTAAGTCTTGGGTCCTATAAATGATCTTAATAATTATTTTTTATATCAAGAATACATGAAAGGCATAACTTAATAAGCTTTTACTATGTCATGCATAAATTCAAGAAACTTGTCATCGCAATTGGTAATGATTTTTTTTATAACCTTGTGCAGTTATTTTCTTACTGTTACGGCTAGGAAAACCGCCCCCCCACGATAGAAGCGAATGACTATCGTTTGGCCATTGTTTTTTCTTTGTAAACTCCACGTTTTTTTTGGGTCCCCATTCATACTTTGTTATATATATATATATACGTAAGAAAACATACAATGAACTTTGACAAAAATGTTCACGTAAAAGGCGGTTCTGTGTTAATGGCGACTTGGAAAATAAATATAAAATCGTATCCCTTTCAACAAATATTGTTAAACAATGGTTTTAATCTTTATAACGAACAAGGGAAAGATTATGATTATCGAGGTGGTGCCACTGCTATAATAATAATATGCCAAACCCTATATGCATAAGGATGGATTACCATTAAGAAAAAAAAATCGTAGATCAATATTACCAAAAAAACAACTAAAGCAAATCAAATCAAACATAAAAGAAAGAAGGAAAAATTGGGTAGACAGGTTGGTGTCCTTATCCGTTCCGTGCATCTATCTCGTGAAGACTGAATAATGTGTCTTTTAGGAATAATATATATATATATATTTAATATCACAATTTATGTAGAAATAATTTTTTTTTTTGGGTAACCGGGTTTTCTGGGCCGAGACCCATACTAATCTCGGGATCGAGAGCCAGCCATGTGATTTGAATTATGCGCTCCCTCCCCATCCTGAGATTCAAACTCGGGACGGGACAGACGCTTTGCGCCCCCGTTTCACCAGTTGAACTACCCAAGTTGGGTATGTAGAAATAACTTTGTTCTAAAACTATCCGTGATAGATTAGTTTGGCAAAATCACATCAAATTATATATATATATATATATATATTGGTATCTCTTTCAGCTAGGAAGAAAACTCTAGAACTATTAAAACGTGATCCAAATTCTTGGGAATATTTCATGCCCATTTTCTATAATAAAAAAAAAACCCCGACCACATCCTTTTGATCTAAACAAAGACCAAAATCGTATTCTACCGAAAAAGGGGACAAAAACGTTCTAATGAAACCGAGGCGGATGGTTGTCATGAACAATTTTACACCTTGGCATGGCCTAGAAGACGTGTAGATTCAGAATCGAACAAATGGGGATCCATTATTCGATATAATTAACGTCGGTCCAGTATGACAAATACACTATTGAATAGGCCCCGACGTGTACGTGTATTGCTGCATATACAGACTGTGGATGTGTGTTTGGCGAATTGAAGAAAAACACAAGGAGGTGTTAACCATCGATTTCTCTAGAGGGTTATAGTCGGACTACCAATCCTAATCATTTCATAATCATTATGCGCTTAATTTTTTATATTAAATTAAAAAAGCATAATATACGAAAACGCAGCTCTCGAAAGGATTGTGTTGACATTGTTATACCCTATATAATGAATGGTACAATTACATTCTTGTTAAATTTGATCCAAAAATGTAACGAAAAAGATTTCATAATCCTTAAACTATGTTATTGACTTTCTTTTTGGGTCCAATTCTCACCATTTACTAACGTATTATCCGTATGGGCTAGTAAATAACTAAATACTGGAGGTCGGATATTAATTTCACAAGTTTTTTTTTTTAAATTTCGATTTGTTTTATATTAAGAATTAGAATTTAGATAGCTATCGTATTTACTGTTTGATTTACGTTTTTTTATTATATAGAATGTATAGTACTTATAGAATTAAGATTTCTACTGTTGTTATCTTCAAAAAATAAGAATAACATTTATCTAAGAAACAAATTCAATTATTCCCCATTCTCAGTTTATTTTTTGCAAATAAAACACGATTCCGTGAATAAAAGTTAGATAGACTCCAAATAATCTGAGGCATGGCATGTGGAATATTCCTACCTTTTCGTGCAATCAAACGCAGTAATCTCCTAAATTCCACGTGGATTTCGTAGCTGAATTAGATAAAACTGTTCTTATATTTATTAATAATTTTAATGTAATTGATCTAGACTCAAATTTTAGAATGTTTGAATTTTCTATCATTCTCTAATTCAAATAAAATTAAATCGCGTAAATTATTCTTATCAGTATTGTTGATAATAAAAGATTTTAAATATGTAATATAATTTGTTTCGAACAAAACGTCTAATCCAATTAGGGATTTGATTTACAAAAAATAGATAATTTAATGTGTTACATCTAAATTCAAAATCCTAAAAGGAATATGCCTACTATTTCTCTATATATATTAATATCTCCTCCTCGCGTTTTACCACACACCCCAACCAACGCACCAACAAACAAGAGAGGCTCTATCCAGGAATAACCACAAACCCGCTCCCAAACACTCTCCTTTTCGATTGACAAAGACCATGGCCGAGATCAAGAGCCACGGACTCGTCTTCGCCGGCAAGAAGCGAGGCGACCGCGACGATGACGTCGACGGAGTCGTGGCGGCGAAGAAGCCGGCGGCGTGGGAGGACCCGGCGGCGGCGTTGGCGAGCATCCGGCACGAATTCGGCGAGCACGGCGGAGTGAACATGTCGATAGAGGCATCGGCCACTTTCACGGTGATGGAGCCGGAGACGATGCGGCGGATGTTCACCGGAGAAATCGGACCTGACAACGACTTTTACATCTACAGCCGCCACTTCAACCCCACCGTCCTCGCTCTCAGTCGCCAGATGGCCGCTCTCGAAGGCACCGAAGCCGCCTATTGCACCGCAAGTGGTTAGTAAGGCAAACCCAATATATATAATATAAAATATATAATATTCGTATAATTATAACATCTATACATGCATTATACACACGCACGCGTATCTTGATGGCAAAGTCTCTTTGTGGAGATAGATAGATGTTTTATTGTCTAACCTCAACAAACTAGATAGGAGATCGAAAAGGGTCTATATAAATCTATTTTTTTAATTAAAAAAAAAAGAAATCAGGAATTAGATCCACTCTCCCGTGCATGATTACGAGAATTGACACGAGGGATCTAGGAAATTATTTTTAATTTTGTCACATTTATACGCACGTATATAATCTCAGACAGTGAGCGATTAATTGTGAGAAACGATGACGTCAGGGATGTCGGCGATATCATCGGTGATGCTTCAGCTATGCAGCAGCGGCGACCACGTGGTGGCGTCGACGACGCTGTACGGTGGAACCCACGCGCTCTTCACCCACTTCCTGCCGAGGTGCTGCAACATAACCACCACCTTCGTCGACATCACCGACCACGCCGCCGTCGCAGACGCCATGGTCGGGGGCCGTACGAAGGTGCTGTACTTCGAGTCGATGGCTAACCCCACGCTCACGGTGGCCGACATACCCGGGCTGAGCCGGCTCGCCCACGAGAAGGGCGTCACCGTCGTCGTCGACAACACTTTCTCTCCGATGGTGCTTTCTCCGGCGAAACTCGGCGCCGACGTCGTCGTGCACAGTATCTCCAAGTTCATCAGCGGTGGGGCCGACATCATCGCAGGTACTTTTTACTTAAAAAACCCACGTGTGTTTCTGGTTAAGAAAGGACCGTACACGTGTCGAGGGGTAATATGGGTAAAATAACGACAGGGGCCGTGTGTGGGCCGGTGAAGCTGGTGAAGGCATTGATGGATCTGCTCCAGGGGTCGCTGATGCTACTGGGTCCCACTATGAACGCCAAGGTGGCGTTTGAGCTGTCGGAGAGAATCCCTCATCTGGGCCTCCGTATGAAGGAGCACTGCCGTAGGGCACAGGTGAGTTCGACCATGTTTGAATTCTAATAAGAAGAAATTATATTATAATTATATAGTATTAAAATAAAAAATGGACATTATTACATGATATGAAAGGTATATGCGGAGAGGATGGAGGGGATGGGAATAAAAGTGATATACCCGGGGCTGAAGAGCCACCCGCAGCACGAGCTTCTGAGATCGATGGCCAACAGAGAGTACGGGTTCGGAGGGCTGCTGAGCATAGACATGGGGACGGAGGAGAGGGCCAACAAGCTCATGACTTATCTCCAAAACGGCACGCAGTTCGGGCTCATGGCGGTGAGCTTGGGTTACAGCGAGACACTGATGTCGTGCTCGGGCAGCAGCACGAGCAGCGAGCTGAACGCGGAGGAGAAGGAGAAGGCGGGCATCTCCCCTGGCCTGGTCAGGATGTCCGTCGGCTACTTGGGCACTCTGGAGCAGAAATGGTCTCTCTTCGAGCGTGCTTTCTCTAGACTGCATGCGTGACTGATCATCATCCCTTTCCTTCTTTCCATATGTTTATATATATATATATGTCATGCACTCTTTACGTTTCCCGTTAAGAAAACGTCTTATTTGCTTTCATTCTTCACACGCCATTACTTGCACACTATTAAAACAATCTTTCTACTGGAGAGATATCAATACAAATACAAATAGGGCTTTTACAGCATGCAATGCAATTGCAAGCGTGTCCTTCTAAAGGACTTTTACAGATATTGGGCCTCTTGTCTTCGAAATAAAAATGAAAACGGATACATAATTTGAACGGAAAATGTTGGGCCATACATATCTATGATCCACTTATAAAATGCCACTTATCTCCCTCTCTGCTTCACATTTCGTATGGCCAATATGCAAAGTCATTTGCTCTTTACAGAAACGAGAAGCGAGCAAAACACGCCTCGTTTGTGGGTAGAGCAGCACGATTAAGCAGAATCTTGACGTTAATTCATGGTGGCGACTGCTTCCACGACCCTTCAGTCAATCAATTTCACGCATTATCACCGGAACCCACTCTCGTCCCGCCGGCGTTGCGCTTTCTTAGCCGTCCGATGCGGGATCGCCGAGCCCAGCGGAGAACCAGCTCCGTTGGGGCAGAAGACAAAGTACGATGATGGGTTCTTCGAGAAGGCTTTCATGACTCTGTTCGGTCGTAAGATGGAGAGGTTTGCTTCGGTCGATGACGATAAGATGAAGAATCAGAATAAGAAGAAGAAGGGCTTATTTGAGCACGATTATGACAGTTTTGTGGATGTCTCGAGGAGAGTGATGAAGGGTCGATCGAGGTTGCAGCAGCAACAAGTTGTGAGGGAGGTTCTTCTATCTATGCTTCCTCCCGGTGCCCCTGAGCAGGTTCTTATCAGTTCTTCTGACTAGTTTCTTGCTCCTCAAGTTATATCTAAATGTTTCTGAAAAAGCTTTTGGAAAGTTAGGTCAGTAATTGGAATAGTAGGTTTCTGTCGGTTGTTTCATTACGCTTCCGAATATCATGAGATGCTGCAGGAACTGTCTGTGTTCTTTGATTAGGTCACCTATTACTCAGATAGAGTAGAAAAACCTCTGGATTTAGAGCTGTATAACAGTATTGTGTTGAGTTGTTTACAAAAGAAATTGCAAAAAACTATCATGTGAATGATTTTATGAAGAAGGAAACGATTTACTCGATGGAATCCCCTTTCTACTTGTCATGTTTCTCTGTGAATGCTAAGCCTTTTCTGTTTCAGTTTCAATTGAGTCAGCTTATTAGAAGGAGAATCTAATAGAGTTTGCTTCTCCTAACTGTGTTCACCTTTATTATCAAAGATTTAACTCGATTAGTAGTGATTCTGTTATCGGTAAATGGCGTGGTGCAGTTCAGAAAATTGTTCCCACCGACAAAATGGGCTGCAGAGTTCAATGCTGCACTCACGGTGCCTTTCTTTCACTGGCTGGTTGGTCCATCAGAGGTATCTTTCCTCGCTACTTCTGCTTATTGGGTTCGGTTATTGAACGAAGAATCAAAAAAGAAAACGATTTATTGTCAGACGGTTAGCTCAATCCGTTGTTGAAAGCCAAGAAAGGGTAGATTTTGCCAGGCTCTGTAATGGCTATTGTTGTGTTTGGTGCTGTATCATACACCCTTTTCTTCATTAACCAGAGGGTGTCACTCTCAGTCTCTGATTGTGAGAGATTTTGCGGTGGATTTCTGTCATTTTCTGTTCACTTCACTGGACATTTGTTTGGATATTCATGTCAAATGTGTTAACAATGTAGGTTGTAGAAGTGGAGGTGAATGGAGTGAAGCAAAGAAGTGGAGTTCACATAAAGAAATGCCGGTATACTGCCATTGTATATAAAAAAAAAGCTTGAGAAGTTCACTCTCTGTTATGGAATACACACTGATATAATTCACCGGTGATGAAGGTACTTGGAGAACAGTGGGTGTGTAGGAATGTGCGTGAACATGTGCAAGATTCCAACCCAAGATTTCTTCACCAATGAGTTTGGCCTTCCGCTCACCATGAACCCCAGTATCTATCACCTTCATTCCACTACAAATACATGTATACGATGTACCGACGGGTTTTGAGCTGAAAAATGCTGTGATTAATTGACCCTTTTCTGCAGATTTTGAAGATATGAGCTGCGAGATGATTTATGGCCAAGCTCCTCCGGCATTTGAAGATGATCCTGTCTCAAGACAACCTTGCCTGAAAGACATTTGTACGTGTGTTACAGGAGGAGTTAGCATAGCTTCTGTCTTTGGATTGATTTCACAACATCTTTATGATTCAGCCATCAAATTCTGTTGATGTTGCTTGCAGGTTCTGTGGCCAACCCGAGCTCCCCCATTTGCCCGAAACTACAGGCATGATCACAGGCTCTGGGGGGTGTGGCTGATGTGAGTGAAGAAGAAGTATACCGTCTTTATACAAACAATGTACGTACATCTGAGTTGAGAATGTTTCTGTTCAACGTCTTGGTACATGTGAATCTTTGATCTCGGGATTGGAACAAAGAATTCTCGAGGTATATGAATCTTTTTTATAAAAAAAAAAAAACTGACCCAAATAAGAGAGGGGTGGGGTGGCATTGGTAAATATCATTTCACATGGCGAATCCTTAATCTGCCAACAAAAAGGGAGGCCCAAAATGAATAGAAGAAGACAGAGAACCGAAAAGAAAGAGGACACAGAGGCAGTACAGTACACTTTCTAATTTACAGCACATCGTCAATTGATGCTGACAAATTCAAATCCCATGTTAAAAACAAAATATAAAACGACCCAATTATCTGTGAGCTGTGACCAAAGTCTCAATGAACCTCAACCCATCAAACCTCGGCTCAAATTTCTCCGGGCGCTGCGAAGCATTCGTCTTCCTCAACTCCGATCCCTGATGTTCAGACACCACATCCATTAAAAAGGGAACAAGACAAGGATGCAAGGCATAATAATGCTGTAGGATTACTGCTTAATCAGCAACAAGATCACTAACAATAGAATGAACAATTTACCGCATCATAAGAACAGTGCTCTTGATGTTCCACTTCCACCACACAATTAATATCCCAGCGCTACAAAACCAGATTCAATTCGAAAAACACAAGAATTGAAATCCAAAACGTGAAAGCTTTTCCTTTTTCTCTCGATGAATCTCAAGGAATGTCAAATATCACCCTCATGATCAATTAACGGGGTACCAGTGAAATTGATAAATGCCAAACACCGCCCAAATCCAAAAAAAAATCAAAATCTTGTATAACAGAAACCCGGACAGATCTGGGGAATCATATTGAAGTCAAACGGAGGAGGAAACCATAGAAGAACGTTCATTTCTCAAGGGGGTACGACACCTAGAAATTTTGACAAGGAAAAAAGGGAAAACCTTTCGCCAATTAGGATGAGGAGGAAGCGATGATGAGGAAGAAGAAAGCGCGGCGGTGGACAAGGCGATTACAGAGGCGACAACACCGCCGGAACCCTTCATCTTTTACGGCGACCGCCACCAGAGAATCTCAATGAACGAAACCCGACGATTCAACGCCGGATCTCGACCACCCCACCCCTCTCTCTCTCTCTACGTGCGTGGACGAGCAGCTGCGTAAACGCCTCCATTTTATATTGGCAGAACCCACCACCCACCATATTAAAAAAAAAAAAAAATTATATTGGCAGAACCCACCACCCACCCAAATAAAAAAAAAAAAAAAAAAAAGGTCGTGCCTTTTTTCGGGTGACGTCAAAAGACAGATATTCTTAAGAAATAATACGATAAATATCCCCAAAGGTTGAATGTTTTATTTTAATCATTGAACAGCAATCTAATTTTGACCGTTGGTTTACGTTTTCATACATCTTTTTATTGGCAAATCTGTAATTCGATGTGAAAGAAAGGGCTTCGGTTCTCCTTTTTATCACCAAAACTTTCTTTCGGTTGTAAAAGATTTTAGGGTTACCACGTTTTCATTTAATATTTGGTCATTTCGATGCAAGGCGGAGAATGTACAAACGCCATTGAATTGTAGGTTACGGGTCTGGGTGGCATTTCGTCTCCACCACTCGTACCGCTCCGTAGATCCCAACGACAGCCAATCCAATCGTGTGACGCCACGTGTTTGCTTGAGTTTTGACGCAGCGCGTTCATGGCTCCTCAATCGTTTGATGTCTTTATAATTTAAAAAAAAAAAAAAGTGGACGAATATTTCTCGTTTATAATAATAATAATTACACGAGCTAGGGTTCGAACTAGATGACCAAATCCATAAAACGCAGAAGCAAACCTTCTATTCTCCCTTTTTTATAATAAGCTGAACCACCATTGGCAAAGAGTTACGGTAATGTTTTCTTTTACCAAACTACATACATGTAAAAAAAAACATGTAATTACAACCTTTTACCACCCATGTTTGCAAACCTCCTGGCTACTCCGAAAATGACAGCCTTTGTCAAGAGTCCCTTGTCCAGAGAGCACGCCACCGCAATTGCCCCTCCCACAAGCAGAATCTTCCCCAACGGTCTCCGAGGGGAATCAACCACCGGAGATGAAGATGATGATGAACCCTTCTCTTTGTCGAGGAAGAGATCATCGAGATTCACTTTGGTATTGATCTGAGCCATTGAAGCCGATGCCGATAATGGCATTGCTCCTCCTCCTCCTGCTGCCGATGAAGATCTCAGCTTCTGATACAAACGTAAACCCGGCTCTATCTTCTTCACCGCCCCCCACATCCCCTGTCTCACTCCCAGCTTTGCTATCTCCCACGGTATTCCCATGTCTTCATGGTGGAAGAGTAACACCTCGCACGCCGTCATCTCACCCTCCCGTCTTCTTGATTCAACTGTATTTATATATATATTCAGTGAATTCAACCAAACCCACTTTGGAAAACTCGGTAAAGCACTTAACTTTCTACCAGTCTTGAGCAAGACGGAAATGTAATTTACCTGCGCGGATGCACCAGCTTGAATAGTATAAGTCAACACGCCGTGGCTTGTTACGCCTTGGTATAGCCGGGTAATTTACTCCCTGAAAACAAACAAACATGAAGTGTTTATTCCCTACTTATGGGTCACATTCCGATGTTTCGTAACTGGTGGAACATCCATTGAGAACACCACATGTCTAAGAGCTCAATAAGATTAGAGTTTTCCTGGGTTACAGCTTAAAATGCAGCTCAATTAAGTTTGATACCTCCATTGGTCACAGGCTTAAAAATTTCCAAGCAACTACAGGTTCCAGCTCAGGAAAAAGAAGAGAAAGAATATAGCAAGTAGACCCAAAAAACACTTATGGTTTACATACCTTTGTGACGCAGTAAAATACTCGGCCGGCATCCCATATTCGACGTCCTATTATATACTCCCTATCACTACAAAAGAAGGGGAACTGCAAGGCAATGGCGGAATACACGCAAAAGATGAGTTAAAAGACAACCCGATAGCAGGAAACGCAGAGCGAAAGAAATCTCAAGTGCCCACCTTTCGCACCCATTGCACAACCATAGTGCCAGTGTCACGGCATTCCTCATGGGTAGAAGAATATAAGAGCATATCGTCCCACTTTGCACGAAATTCATCATCCCAAAAGAAGTCCCTCACCATCTCTGGAGTGGCATCCTCAAACACTGTCCTACTTCGATACTGGGGAGGACCGTTCTGATACATCCCCATAAAGCATAATTCAGCCAATTGCTCAGATAACACAGACAGAACGAAAGAAACACAACAGAGAGGCTGTATGGCTGGCTAACCGTGAAAATACACACTATACAACATTAGAAAAATGGAGCAAGGGTATAGACAGAGAAAGCATCAACCAGACAAGAAAAAGAAGTAGCCAATGTCTGAAAGCTTCTTCATAAGATATCTCATCACCGTCATTCAGCTTCACATATAGACAACAGAAAATGATCAAGCTAAGCTATAGAACACTTGCAAAAGCATAAGAGGGGTACCTGAGGTTCTCGCCTCCAAGCTTGATACGCGAAAGTGGGGGTCGATCGGTCCATCATCTGAATCCAAGCAGGACCGCCATCTGTAACCTCGACTAACTTCCATAAATGCCTCAAATCGTCCTCTGCCACCAACCCTGATCTCTCTTTCTCAACCTGGGGAGGAAGGCTACACAAGGAAAAGACGAGCCTGTCAGCTAAAAGAACCCCGAGGGCAAGGGAAACTTCCCTCCGTTATCGGTACCTGCGATTAAAGCTGGCATTTTGAGAGGATTGGGAATAATTTCCGACACCATAATCAGCAATCCAGGGAAGAAGCTGAAGCTTCAAACTTGGAATTGAACAAAAATTGAATTTAGATGTGGAGGAAGTGAGTGTTTCTCCACCCAATTCCGCCCATTTGGGTTTCCAAATCCAACCCACCACAACCCCCACAACTACAGCAGCCCACAGCGGAGCCACGACCATGACAACCTCCGCAAACATGTCCCCAGTTGCCTGTCTCCGCATAATATCCACCAAACCAGACGTCAGCCCCATCTTCCTCACGACCAATCACTCTCTATATAGAAGAAAAACCCTCGATCGATTCGAAAGAACAGGCGTGAAAGCGCGGGGACTGCTCGATCGAGGGTTTCAAGAGGCGAGGATAAAACCCCCTTAAATCGACCGAGCAGAGGGAGAGGGGAAACGAACAAAGGAGAGGAGATAGAGAGAGACAAAGATGAGCAGAGTCGAGAATCAGAGGGGGGAACAGACAGAGAAAGAGGATAAGGGATTGGAGTTTCAAGCGGTAGCCTGGGATTACTGTAGGCCCAATTCATTTACACTGCTTCCCCAATTCCTCTCGTTCTCACACACATATATATATATAATACAATTTTGATTCACGGGGAAAAAAAATCTTTTTTTTTTAATCTTTAAGAATCGCTCGTAAGTTGTAATGAAAAGATAGATTCTACTCTTGTATATGTTTTTCTTTAAATAATCACGTGCTAAATCAGGATGTTTCCTTTGGCCTTGTGTGGCTCTTCTCAACAATGTTAATTATAGATTATTATCATAATGTGCAGACGTGGTTCAAATAAGAGACCCTATTAGATATAATCTTTAAAAAAAACTCGTAGTACAGGTTTTTTTTTTTGTCCATCGTCCAAATAATCTTATAATTTTGGTGAGAAAAACAAAAGATGTTTTTATTTGTTGACGAAATAAAATCATAATAATTTAACTATATTTGGGAGGGATTTTCGGGCATATATTAACAGGGTGACAAAATCATAATTTAACTGACAGCAGGAAATGATCCAAGTGTTGGACGATGACTGGGCCATTTTGGATAAGCATATTGAAGAAACGGTCATTTTTTTTTTACTTTTTTTACAAAAAAAAATAAAGGAAAGAGATAATTGTGCTGTGTTCCATAGATTTTGCCATTAAAAAAAAAAATCACTCGGTCCACGTGTTTTGTTCACTCGAGGATATTATGCGGTCGCCGCGGCTTTTGCGTTCTGCCCTCCATTTGAACGGACTTATATGTTTATCGATCTATTTTTTTTTATAAACATTATCGATATTTAAAAAATAATATTATACAAAAGCAAAATCCATCTTTTTAAAAAAATGTTGTAAAATATTTATCCTTGCCCCTAAACTCACTACAGGTCATTATAAAAAAAAATACATTCTCTTTTGTTATTTTGAGCTCAACACATACTTTTTTTTTAAACTGTGATCCATATAATAAAAAATATAACCTTATCAAATGTTATTCTCATTTATCATATCATATAACTTATAATATTTTTATCAAACGATTAATAAGATATGTAATGGATGAATATAATAAATTAGTGTGATCACCGTAAATTTAATATTATGATCAATGAAATCAAAATAAGACCGGATTATATTTCTGATGACAAGGTCGCATATGGAGAATGTTATATATTAAAATTAAAATAATAAAACCCAATAAGATGGGTTATCACTCATATACATAACAGGAATCTTATTTTTTAAATCTATTTAATATTAACATTTCTATGTTTCGCATCTTAAAAACGTGGTCGGAAGGGGATTGATGTGACTTCATCGCACCAAAATTATTAAACTTTCGACGTTTTCACAAAAAATCGATTTGACTCCGCACAACTTCACGAATGCTTGGCATGGTCGGTCCATGATGTCAAATCATTATAGATAACCATAGCTCGATAACGCTCTGTATGTATTTTTATTATTAATTATGTTTCAATAATCAATAGCAAGCATCTTTTTGAATACTCGCGTATGGACGGTGGGTATGGTTTTACAATTTAACTATATGTAGAATATTATAAAATACCATAGTTTCATTCATATAAACCATCAAGAACATATATATATATATATAATAGATTCGTATTTAAAGATGTATGTTCATAGTTTAACATCGTTTAAGATCAATAAAAAAAATATAGAATATATCTAAATCTATTAATGACCACATTTATGCTTTAATGATAGCTAACGTTATAAACCCCAGAATTTAAATTACTGAATTGAATCACATCAATTGATAATATTTTTTTTAATACTATAACATCGGTGGTGATTAACAAAAAATTTAAAACTTGGTTTATCGGTGAGAGTTACGGATCCGGAGGCAAACGCGGCCGGTTTGCACTGAAGTTCGTGGTTTGACTCGTCATACGTGTACGACCATGCACACTTAACTTAACCCGTGCTCTTTTTTTTTTTTTTTTAAAATATTTATTATAAATTCACTTTTCAACAAGAGTCACTTTTTCAACCTATACAAATTCGGAAGTAATGGAAAGACCAAACCTTTGACAAAAAAAAAAAAAAAAAAACGATTCATTGTTAAAGTGGGGCCCACGAGTGTATTTTGAGTTTACAAATCTCGACTAAGCCAAAATTCTTGTACCGTTCCTATATAATAAATTTACGCATGACTTCTCTGAATATCGCTAGGGTTTGATTAATACAAAAAAAAAAACAGCTACTGTTTGCGGCTGGACATTTCATTTTGTTTTATTATTATTATTATTAAAAATATATATTGATGGTCGCATTTTGTATAATATGCCAACATGAAAATGGACCGTTACAACCATTTGTGCAGCAATAATAACCAATTCGAAATTGTCTTCTGACATCTAACTTATGAAACGCTCTGTGCTGCTTTCCCACTTCACCATCAACAAACGTGGAAAACGTTATTCGTTCCTTCCTCTTTCACCCTCTCTCGTTTCCTTCTTCTTGGAGTCGTATCCCTATTTTATCCCCAATCAAATTAAATCACCACTTTTTTTTTACATTTCAAACGTGAACAAAAGAAATATAAAGAATACGTAGATTCGGTTTTATCAATATTTTCGGACTAAAATATTTTTTTAGTTCTATTGGTTTGAATGATTTTAAATATTTATTAATAAATTAGATCGTCTTAAAATGAGAGGGATGATGAGCGAAAACGATGTTCTTCGTGGATTCCGTGATTGTTTGCATGTAAAAGGGCAATAATATAATTATTTGTACAAAAAAATAATGTAATTATTTGTACTTTTAAAAAGGCTTGGATTTGTAATGGACCTACAGCCCAATGAACAAACGTTAATAGATATTAGGCCCAAGGCCCAATAAACGAAGCACATTTAAATTTAATAGTTGAATTCAGATTTCCATGAGTATTTGGGATATAATTCAACATTTTGATTGAGTTTTACCAAACTATTTTTTTAAAGATAAGGTTCAAAATTATTCTAAACTCTAATTGATATATGTATATATATATATATAAATATTTTGAATCAGTCTAAATTCATTTAAATCATATAATACTTTAGAAAAAAGAATTTCAATCAGCAATTTTAGATTATAACACCATTTGATTTAATTTCGATTAGGATTTAGGGAGAATATATTCTAACTTGTTGTTGCAAACGCTAGAAACCCCTAGAAACAAGGCGTCACTTTTACATATTACTTCCCCTCCCGTCGTCATACACGACAGTTGCACACACCGAATTCAAGATTCTGATTAACGAAAACCTCTGCGAAATGTTCTTCTTCTTCGTCGGTGGATTAGGGCAACAGGTGAGGCAGGTGCTGAAATCCGGCGCCGGAAAATGCATCAGGTGCGGATCAGACGCCGATTTGGTCGATTACGACAAGGTTCTCAAGCTGTTCTTCGTCCCTGTCTGGAGATGGCCAGGCAAAGATCCTGTCTTATACTGTAGAGATTGCGATCTATTCCTCCCTCAGTCTCTGTCTCCACCGCCGCCGCCGCCGACAACCACCGTGGATAGGTTTCTCCGGTGCCGGTTCTGCGATCGTGCCGTTGAGCCTGAGTTCAGGTTTTGCCCCTTTTGTGGGTCTTCTCTGTGATTGGCATCTGATTTTTTTTTTGGGTGCCGTGCTCTGTTTTCTCGTTATCATTACATTAAAAAAAAAAACCCATGTTTTCTTGTCCTTAAATGATAAATTTCATGCTTTTGTAAGGATAGTGTTTTGTAAAGAGATTTCGGGAAAGATGGTGACTTTTTTATTGATGAAGTTTGGGTGGAGATTGATTGAGTTTAGCTCCATGTATATGAATCTTTTCCCGGAATATTGTTTGTTTGGCTTCCGGGAAAATTTATACCCCGAAAGCCTTATTCCTGGTTTTCCAAAGAGTGAGATTCAAAGAAAGAAAGCAATTAAAACATGATTAGGTTAACCATTAATCGTTTTCATGTGAATTCCATTCCTATGTTGGCCCCTTCAGAACAAAATCCTCAGTAAACTCGCGAGTCGACTCAGTTGTTGACCAGAGAAAGATCCAAGAAACGACATCACAGTGTCCAGGAGCTCACCCATCTGTATGTGAGGATTTGGTTTATGTGGCGAAAGTTGCGAGCTTTTCATGAGTTCCATGATGGGTGTATCCTCCAATGGCCTATTAACGATTGCTATAGTTTCTTGTAGGGCTCGCTCGGTACAGCATATCCGATTTTCGGACATTCGATCTAAAAACGTGAATCGGGTATCTAAAAATCGGATACTATGATGACAATTTCCAATCCTATTTAAAAAACTCGTGTTTTAAAAAAAAAGACAGTCTAAATCCATTTTTTATTTTTTTAATATCTTTAGTACTTTATATAACTAGTTTTTTTACCGTTGAAATATTTTTTATTTTTTATTTTTAATGTTGTTTTTTTTTAATTCTTTCAGGATTTTTTAAACTAAATCTAAAACCGATTGATTCGAACCGATATGCGCTTTATCTGACTGTTTCTCGCTTATCAAAATAATTTCCTGATATTATTTATTCAGTTTTGTTTATATTTTCAATATGTAATCTAGAAAATATACCATTTTTACCATTTTTTACGGAACTGGATTATTCCCAAACAAAAAAGGAAAGGGAATTACAGACGCTTGAGAATTTGTTTTAGGCGGACAAATAAGTAACAGATGTAAGAAATGGTAAATTAAATAATTAATAAATCGGTGACAAAAGGAAAGTTCCCGTTTTAATTTCAATATTCCCTAATTCTAAGATAAATATGAAACCGAATAGAAATCAAACAGAAGAAACCTATATATACACCCCGACACCCTTCCTTCGATTCAAACAATTCACAATAACAAGACATCTATATTACCACAGAGAATCATGGACTCGACGCCTGTTTTCTTGCTTCATGAACACAAACTCGAACAATCGGATGAGGTCACGGACTTCACGATCAGATTCGACTTAAAAACGTCGGATCGAGAATCCGATTCCGACAAAAGGTCGTTCTCGTTTCCACTCGGAGAGTTCATCGATGAAAGCTTTCACAGCCAGGAGAAACTAGAGTTCTGCTTCTACTTCATCGAATCTTTGGGAGAAGACCGTGCTGTGTTTCTGTTGGAAGAACTGTCTTTGCTCGCTCGCAACGTGAGAGCCATAGTTGGTCGAGAGCTTCGAGCAGTTTTGACGTTGTCCGCAACCGTTCTTGTCTGTTCGGACGAGCTCAGTGAGGCGATTCGCGAGTCGTTTGATGAGAGTAAGGCTTGGTTCAAACCCGCGACTGAATCCGCGATCGGGTCGTTGGGCAGAAGAAGAATCGAGGAAAAGGGTTTGGTGGACGAGACCTGCATGATTTGTCTGGATGATTTCGTGTTCGGACAGGAAGTTACGAGCCTGCCTTGCTTCCACGAGTTTCACGACGGATGTGTTGTCAAGTGGCTCGAGAGGAGTCATGTTTGCCCGCTGTGTCGGTTCCAACTGCATTGCGAACCGGGACCAGAACCAGAAGGACAACGTTTAGAGTGCTGACTCGAACAGTATTAGAGTTAATTCAACAGAAATAACGAACTTTATACGGCATACCAACCTTGTGTATGTATAGCTCAAGGGAGATTTAACTTTGATCATTGTTGAGAATATACAGAAAATTTTAACCTTCCTCTCTCTGTTTTCCTCTCCTCTGTTCAGACACTATTTTACATTCTGTCTCTTTATAAACAAGATTTGTTGTTGAATTTTTTTTTTTGTCAATGAAGATTACCCTTTTCTAGAAAGCTTAAACCCTGGTTTTGATTTTCTTATGATATCTTATAACATATCAAAGAGGAGGATTTTTGTGATAGGTTAACATCCGGCAAAAGAAAACAAATGTCAAATCTCACATACAATGAATTCACAAGTTTCAAAGCACAACGAGTAGAATGAATGAAAAATTCATGCGGCCGACCCCGAAGAAATTTGGGACTAAGGCGAAGTTCAAGTTTAAGATCTTATAACGTATCAGAACCGTGAAAGCAAGCAAAAACCATGAGAGATTCTCTTGAGTTGTTTTCTTGTTTCATGACTGTTTTTGATGCCAAAAAGAGTACAGGGATCGTAACCTGACCCACGAAAGGCTTACAGTAAAGAAAAGAAAAGATGCACCCGTAGGCGGGTGTTTGGGGGGCGAGAAAATGCAAGAAAATAATAAGGGATAGACGAGAAAATTTACACTGTACACAGGAGGATAATGAAAAATAGTGTGCTCTCTAGATTTACAGCGGATAGACTTACAGTATATTCCAGGCTCAAGCCTCTGTTTCTTCTTTCTCCGGATTGAATCCGCAGATTCTGTTAACTCAGCAAGCCTTCTCTCTGCAGTGTGAAGAACCAAACAGCAAAGAATCCGCGTGGAACAATCCGTTGTTTCGGACGGTTGAGTTCGACAAGAAAAGCTAAAATCTTGGTCACAGAAAAAATGAGGGCTTCAAATTCGTTACTCGGAGAAGGGTAATTTATCTTGGCCACAGTCTACGGCATTCCTCCATAGTCTATACCGAACACCGAGCTTGTCATAAGCAACTGGCAAGTTCCATATGTTTGCACCATTTAGCATCCGCTCTTGCTGTCCGATCACAAGCCGGAGATCTTCATTTAAAACCTGGAAACCCGATACCGCATGAGAAGATCTTTCTTATCAGATGTTTTTCTTCAGACAACAAACTAAGTATAGCACTCTGTTTCTGATAAAACATGGCCGTTGAAATACAACAAGGGCAAGACAGAAATCCTTGTTTAGGGTAGTGAAGGTGACTCGTTTTTCGTACCTGTTCGGCAAAATGTCTCCACAGATATTGCATGAAAGGAATATTCTTCAACAACGGGGCGAAATCTAGAGACATTCTGTACAAAAGTCTCGTCTTTTGCCTCGAAGCGGGTAAACAAACATGGAGTTGGTGAAGATGTGTTGAACACTGCTGAGTACTCTTCCCCTCGAGTTTCCCAGGTTTCGAGATCCCGATTGTGGAAAGAACCATACAGGGCGGTCTAAATTCCATATCAATCGGATATGGATCCCAGTATCCTTGAAGACCAGAGGCAGGTGTCAAGAATTTCACCAAGCTGACAATTTAGAAATATGTATAAGCACATAAAGAGTGTAAGTAGACTAACAGAGTGATATATCATTTTTTTAGCTTTCAGGTAACAACAAAAACCGATAAAACAACAAACCTAGGAACACTCCAGCCCTTGGCAAAGGTAGAGGTGTGAGTGAATGGGGCATGTGCCAGATCCAAAAGATTATCCAGAAGCAACCCATGTTCAACCGGAAGCTCCATCACAATCTGCAGAGTTTATTACCAAAAAAAAAAAATGAGTAACCTCTGGCCTACATATATACCAATATAACGTTCTACATTAGAGCCAGCTGCTTGTAATGCATTACCTCAGCATGGATAACAAATCCAGATGGAGGTTGCAAAGAAGGAAGTGTGGGTGAAGGGGGATCATCGCCAGGCCAAACCCAAATCATACCCTCTTGTTCAAAACAAGGCAAAGCCTTTATCTTTACGTTGAGTAGACGCGTAGAGGGCATCTTCTTGCATTTTCCATCAGTTGAGTACTCCCATCCTAGTGTTCAGTTTATAGTTTTTTGAGTTTAACATAAAAATATTAAGGGTTTTAAACAAGATTTTAGGATGCAGTATTCAAATTTAGTCACTCACCATGGTAAGGACACTGGATACGGCCTTCACTGACTGAACCGAGATGAAGAGGACACGCCCTATGAGCACACGTGTTCTGTACACATCCGGGTTTCCCATCCTCTCCCCGAAAGATAACCCACGGTTCCTCGAAGCACTCAATTGGAATCTTCAGACAAAAAACAATCTCATAAGCTCCTAAAGCAAACTCAAAGGGATATATATACATATATATATAAAGATGAAGAAACAGCTAGAATACCATGGTATCATTCTTGAGGTCAGAGGAAAAAGCAACAGGGTACCAAAAGTTCTTCAGGCGTGGATGATACGGTTGAACTGGACCAGAGACATTCAGGCTTTTCATATGCGTTTTGCTCTTTGTCCTATCCAAAGATTGAACAGAAGTACTTGTTGAAGTGGTGGGATGATCTGATTCTGTTGCAATTCTTTCTGGTAGCAACCTATCATTAACCAACGCTTCCATGTGAGCTAACTTGTCTAATGCAGTTGAAACCCTTGCTTCGGATATATGAACCTGTTTTTGTTTAACCACAAAGTGTTAGATACCGAACAAGCTAATAGCAATATTCTTTGACATAGTTTTCTACAAACCTGTTGGTGCGCTTTTGCTAGCTCTCCTTGCAGCTCAGCAAGTTCTTTCTTCACTGTACCGATAGATTTGTAATCACGAGCTAGCGGATTTAGCACATCAACTACCTATAATACATCAGGTAAAGATTAAGCATAAAACCCAACCTAAAAAAACAATCGGAAACAAGATACACTTGGACAATGAATCAGTATAAGTGATTAAAAATGAAAACCCGAGTTAGAAGATGAACCCATTGAACACATATGATCAACCGAAAAGCCTATGAACCCATTGAACAAATGCAACAATAAAAGTTCATGGAACTACAGAAACCTTTTCATGGAGAAGCATGATGGTGAGCAGATCTTGCCTGGCGCGCCAATCCAAGTACTGAATATCATATCTTGCCACTTCAAGAGCTTGATTCACATCCAAAAACTTCCCTTTATACAGAGGAGCTTTCGATCTGGGATCCTCCACATCGAACAGAGGACCCCAAGGGCTCTTTTTATCTACCAGGCCACCTTCTTCCCCAAACACAGCAAACACCCTAAACCCTCCTTTCACACCCTGAGAAAACCCTTTCAACGATCAGACCATTTATACGAATACAAATTGACAAAACCCTAAATCTAGATTGTACAATCTTAACATCATAACCCAAATCCAGAATCAGTAATCGACGCATTTGATGCCCTGAAGGACTAAAGGTGTCCTTTTTCCCACTGAATCAACAATATAAGATGCATCTTCAATAATGAAAACCCAAAAAAAAAGAACAAAACTTTCAGGGTTCACAGACAAGCCAAAGCTCGATTCTATCAGCCTACAAGCTTCGAGCAGAAAACTTCAAGACCCAGATGGAACCGAAAGACAAAATTCGAGAAACTTACCTTCTTGACGCCGAACTTTGATGATCTACACAGCGAGAGAGGCAGAGGCAGAGACAGAGCAGTTGCTACCGCGTTCATGGCGTCTCCGTTCGAGAGGGTGACCAAAAAATAGAAAGAAAATAGAGAAAGGAAATATAAGTGGGAGATTTCATTGGATAAGAGAAGAGACTAGCGCGCGATCTGAGCAGGCCTTCAGAGGGATGACACGTGGACAACCTTGGAAAGCAATGGAGACACGTGGCAGCACGAGCGTCCACACGATGTGGAGAGAGAGAGAAAGCCATGAGATTTTTAGGAAGGAAGAAGGCGATTCTTGATTTGCCAGCTCGGATTCTCAGATATCTTTCATCTATCTTAAAATCTCACCATCCGATTTTAGTCTTCAAGCCTCTTGCGACCACAAAACATGAAATGCTTACGTCTCTTTGGGATTTTGTCGTGTTCGAGTTTTGAATCTCCTACGCTAGTCTCCCTCTTTCTCTCTATATATATATATCTTTCTTTTTTTTCATTTTCGGTAAAATTAAATGCAACTTTTAGAAAATAAAACAAAATGATATATACAAAAACATTTATTTAATTTCTTTACAAATTATTAAGAATACACAAAAAATATCAAATTCCTCTACAAATCTAATTCAAATAGACATTATTACTGGCTAATACATTCTAAACTCAAATTTAAATAAAAAATTAGATATCCGAACATTAGATATTCAAAAAATTCACACCACGGAACATTCTCTTGGCAAGTCCGTACGACGAATCAAATTAGGGCCGGGGAGGTGGTTTTAATGAAGAGGTCATAGGCGTCTTTATTCTCAGCCCAAATCATTATATTACTCAAATTAAAGCCCATGGGCATGTAGGCCCGAAGCCCACTTCCTGATATGCGACACAGGTACAGTCACGTGATGTTCGGGAGTGAGGTCACGTGTCACATCGTGAACGAAGCCAGTCAGTCAATCCCATACAAATCAAAACTCTCATTGTTCCAAGTCGTGGACCGTTGTGGGAATAAGCAAGTGGCAATTGTCACACCAAAATATGTGGACCAAAAATTTGGGATCCGGTTCGAACCGGGCTGTCGTCCTTCAATTCTTCAGCCACCGTAGCTATGCATATATGTATTATTATAAATACATAACTTGTCTTTTTTTAATTACATGAAATTAATTCCCTATGATCTTGATTTTGACCACACACGCTTCTCATCCGAATCTCCCCAATATTCGAATCTTTCTCTTAATTTTTGGAAAACCCGGTTTATCTAAACCAAAAATCGAAATCCTTAAAAAAATTACTCAAAGTTACTGCATAACTATAAATGCCATCACACGATGCATATAATATCAAATTTCTTAGGATAAGAAATAGTTAAAAGTATGTTAAGAGTAACTAGGAGCAAATTCATGTATACGTAAAATAATATTAACCATTTTTTTTTCTCCACAAAAACATTATCTCCACACAAAGAGGAAGCAAAAGTACAACAAGGAGACGTGGACACATTCTTTGCCCGTCAATAGATTTCCTTCATATCTCTTTGCATCACATTGTCTCTTCCGACAACTTATAACAACACATCGATCAAACCCAACATTGAACTTCTTCTTCTTCTTGAGATCTCACAAAATAAACACGCAGTTAGCAAAGTATGGCGCAAACCATGTTGCTGACTTCCGGTGTCTCGGCCGGTTCTCTCCTAAACCATAACCGGAACCCTCTCTCAGGCCCCGAACTCCGACCTCGTCACGGCCTCTTCTCCTCCGCGGATTCTCCGGCTTTGCCCTCCCGTAGACTGTCATCTCCGGCCTTAGTTCCTCTTGCCATCTTCAAGCCCAAGACCAAAGCTGCTCCCGCCAAAAAGGTTTCAGACATTTCCCTGTTCTTTATGACTATTTCACTGCTTTCTTAGTCTTATATTGTAACTTGTATTAGTTGTGTTGGATCTTTAATCATTTTGTAAACTTGTTTTAGCATCTTCCTTACGGGGTATAATAGGAAACTTGTATGCGTGGAAACAAGTTTTGACTATATGTATGTGGCATTCATCGTAGGAATATAAATCTAAATACTTCAACAAAAAAATACCATTAATTCGAAATCGAATAGTATACAACAGTATCTTATTTAAAAACTGAATACATGAAACTTTTTCTTAAATCAAATTCACATATACAAATTGTATGACAATAATTAAAAAAAAACTTGAATGAAAATTATTTTTTTAATAAATATTTTCTTAGGAAAAAACCGAATTCGAAACAATTTGAAAAGGAATCGAAACTTGGTATAATAATGAAACAAATATAGTTTTTCCAAATGTATTTTTTTTAAAATCGAATTAAGCTTAAAATGTGCATACTAATCTAAACAATAGGCATACGAAAAAACAAGTCTGCCTGGTGCAAGCGACCATTGTATCTTGTGAAGGGGAACAAAATAAATGAAGACGCTTAAGCTGATAACATGTTGAATAATTTTTGCAGGCTCCGCCTCCGAAGCCGAAGGTGGAAGACGGAATCTTCGGGACATCAGGAGGTATCGGTTTCACTAAGCAGAACGAGCTCTTTGTCGGCCGTGTTGCCATGATCGGTTTCGCCGTAAGCTCTCTCTCTCTCCTCTCTCTCTCTCTCTATACACACACACACACACATTTTGGCACATAATTTCAGATCAAATCTATCATTTACGCGTTTTCAGTAGCTAATATACCAACCGTTTCAATATGAAATGGGACAATTTTATGATATGTGTTGAATCAATACAGGCGTCGTTGCTGGGGGAAGCGGTAACGGGGAAAGGAATATTGGCGCAGTTGAATCTGGAAACAGGAATACCGATATACGAAGCAGAGCCATTGTTGCTCTTCTTCATATTGTTTACTTTGCTCGGAGCGATCGGAGCTCTCGGAGATAGAGGTCAGTTTGTGGACGATCCTCCCACCGGCCTCGACAAGGCCGTTATCCCTCCCGGCAAAAGCTTCCGCTCCGCCATCGGCCTCCCTGAACAAGGTATATATATACATAACACACTCCTCGTGTATATATATATATATGGTTTTAGCCATCATACATAATAAACCAATATGAGTATATATGAACCCTAATTTCAGTAGGTTTAATCTTTACTTATATATATTAGTACGGATTCATGTACACGGTCGATAACTTACCAAGAGCAACATTGTTACATAGATAACGCGGGATATTTTTTCATTATTGTGTGGGTGAAGGTCCATTGTTCGGGTTCACGAAGGCGAACGAGCTATTCGTGGGGAGATTGGCGCAGTTGGGGATAGCGTTCTCGTTGATAGGAGAGATCATTACGGGGAAAGGAGCGTTGGCTCAACTCAACTTCGAGACCGGAATTCCCATCACCGAGATCGAACCCATTGTTTTGTTCAATGTCGCCTTTTTCTTCTTCGCAGCCATTAATCCCGGGACAGGAAAGTTCATCACCGACGACGAAGAAGATTGATTGAAATCTGGTAGAGAGCTTCATGTGATGGAGTCTGAAAATGTTTGTAATCTGTTTTATCCAATTAGTGTGATATTAAAAACAAGAAATACCCCTTCTAATTATTTTAAAATTTCTCATATATCTTTCTTATATATATTATGAATTAATCTTCACATATCAACATAGATCAATGATTGGTGTTGAATTTTAAAAACTGAGAAATCCTATTTTTATAATCTTGTGCGCGTTGATATCCTGATATTTACCCATTTCCAAATTCCAACCACACGTAAACCACAATTGTATTGTATGTAATGAATGTAGAGGTATTGTCCCACATCGACTATTTAATAGCAGTCATCACACTATATAATGTAATACATAGTTATTACATAACGCCGAGCCTAGTAACGTGGGCCTGTGACCCAAGTGGGGGCATCAAGGTGATGTGGACGTTGAGTCGGTCTGATGGGCCGGGCTCGGGTTTGGCGAAAATCTGGCCCGCCCGTTCCAAGCCGAGAGTTGGGACATGTTGCTTGAGCGAAGGCTCCGGGTGACGTGTCTCTTAGAGAGGAGGACACCGCGTGAGGCTGGTTTCACAGAGCAGCGACCACTTCCCTCTCTCGACGGTGGAAGGATAACGGGCCTCTGTCTCTCGAGTCCATGGTGACCCACAGGGCCGGTCTCAACTGGACCATCACTTTTTTACTTTTTTTTGTTGCTATTTTTTAATTTTTATATTCCCAGCCACCGGATTAGTTTATTTTTTGCGTGATGTTTGTATTTTCTGTATTGAATGTTGCTTATTTTTAATTTTATTAATTGAATATTGTTTAGATAAGATACTGATTTATTACGAGTTTGCAACACTTTTCCATTGCATCTTGGTTTAGTTATTTTTTATTTTAAATTTTATGATTAAAATTATCTGAATATTCATATTTTTGCGAGTTTTATTTTAATTAGGTTTTATTTATGCATTCATTTTTTACAAAAAAATAGATTAATTTATTGGAATCGAAATTTTTTATTTAAAAAAATTATGTGTATTAACCAACAAATTCGGATAAATTGACTAAAAAAATTGCCACCATGATGAAGATGAAGAAACATCAAAATGTTTTAATAATTAAAATATTCTGATTGATTGATTGATTGGAGTTTGCATGATGGCCAATCACCCTTGAGTATTTTATTTGGTTCCATTTCATTTCCTTCTAATCTCTATGTAACTTAATTTCCATACATATATAACTTAATTTCTTTAAAAAAAAAATGGTGATAAAATCATCCCATATATTATCAAGTTTGAAACATGTCATATGTGCGTGGAGTATCCCAGTCTAATGATCAAATATTGTCTGCCATTTCTTTGTACAGCTAATAGAGAGTTCGACTTTGTTTAAAGACATAAAATGCTAATGTGTTTAGACTAATCGAACTGTCTTTTAATTACATAACATGTATGTATGTATGTAAATAAAATCCTAGTTTATTTTACAACAATTACTATTTTAATTTTGTTAACGTCAACCTAATGGCTAAAATTAATTAATCCAGTAACTATAAAAATCAGCATTTAAATCCTATAAACATTGCAAGTACATGGCTCGTAATATTATTAATTTTTTTTTTATAACTTCCTTTTCATTGATTTAATTTTATAAAAAATACTATGGGAAAAAGAAATTTATTCCCTGTCTGCGAAAAGAATCTCTCTCCTCCTCGTCTTCGTTCCGATCGTCTCTGGAACCTGCATCGTCGTGGTGGGGGAAGTTGAAATAATCCCCCGAATCGAACGTAACACGTTCTTCCACATACCCATTAACGCTTTACTACTTAACCCCCATTCTCTTGTCTCTCTCTCTCTCTCTCGGTGAAATTTGATTCCGGCGACGATCGGTCAAATCATTTGTGGTTGTCGCCGTCATCTTCGCAAATCGGAGACGTATGCTCTGAAGATGGTGAGGTTTGATTCGGTTGGGGCTAATGATGTTCGTCTTGGCGGTAGCAACCAGTTTTCTTCTCCGTCATTCTCTTCTTCTTCTTCTCTCAGGCATGTCAACTACAGGTAACGATGAGAATTTGTGGATTTGCTCTTCCTTTTGATCGATTGCGTTGTTTGTTTTTTGTTTGCGTGTTGGGGATTTCGTAATCTAGGGTTTTCTGTTTTAGGGTTTTTGCTATCTGTTGCCACCCTTTGAAGATTCTTGTTGTTTTGGTTGGATGTTGTAAAAAGGATGATTTTTTAATCATCTTTAATGGAGGAAAGGCTGTTAATTTGATGTAATTACGGATACCCAGTTGCTCGAATTATCTGCGAATCCTTCTCTCAAGTTTGAGAACAAGAACAAAGTAGATGTGAATCATGGGTTGCGAAGAAGATGCATTGTACGATGTGAATTTTGAAAAGATTCTGCAATCAAAAACAGAATTATTCTCTGTGTGCAATTTAGAATTTGGAGTTCCATTTTTCGTACACTAAAAGGCTAAAACTTTGTCCAATTACCTTCTCAAGTTGTAGCCTTCTGATGCTTATGTCTAGTTTGCCTGATTCGTCAACGGATGGCGTGTCTCAGACCATGACTTGTGTGATAGGACTCTGTATGAGAAACCCTTGTGAAGCTTGTTCTTGCCAAGAGATGGACTTGAAGGAGCTAATAATGTGCTGAATGTCATGCAGTTGTGGCTCGTGTGGGTACGAACTGAACCTAAGCTCCTCAAATCGGATCACATCCACTATCGGGTCGAAGTATGGGAAATCCATAAAGAGTGGCATCATATCGTTCTTCAATATCGACGAGAGCAGATTCACGCAGGTGGAGGAGTTTCGATGCATCCCCCACTTCTCGAAAAACTCTTGGGGTTTGTTCAGACACAGAACTAAACTTCTCTGTCGCAAATGTAATAACCATATCGGCACTGCTTCTCAGGACAAAGCTTCTGCTCACACCGTCGTAGCAGAAAGTTCAGATTCGTCGCCCAGCGATGTCGGCTCTGGCATCAAGAAGTACGATATCCGGATCCGTGCCCTTCAACCATCTTCCTCCGCACAAGGAATTGGGGCACCGTTCTTCTCGTGAATCGCATCGAATCTCTCGTCTGTAAGTCCTTTTATCGTACATGCCGAGATGTTCCAGGGTATCTTCTGAAATGTTACCTGTAAATCTGTCATGAAGGGTCTGTGTAATCTTGGTTTTGCTGGTTAGAATGGTGGATCTGCTTTTGTACAGAGTAGTACGTAGCAACGCCTAAGGAAGCATTGGAGGGCAATGTGTGCAATCTTCCACCACCCATTTGTTTTTGCCATTCATAATCAAATAACAATGTCTTTCCGGTTGTTCCCTATTAGATTTTGATTCGAGTTTTTATTTTTTATTTTTAAAAAAAATTATAACCGTGTGGTTTTAATGTCGGATAATGCCATTCCAGTTGGGTCAAACTCATTAAAAAAAATCGTTTTTTTATTTTTGAAATTCTTCATATTCCGTTTGAATTCTATTAATGTGGTTTAAAAAATATATATATATTTATATAATAATTTGACTCGCTTCTGTATATCCAAACCGAAACAGTGGTGTGATTTTGAATTATATCAAAACTTTGAAAAGACAATACACAACTTTATAATTTAGCCTTATCCTCTTGGTTCCGGAGTGTGGTTGTGCTCATTCGTTATCAGAAGATTCAGAACCATTCATCACGAATCCCAAATCTTCCACCTTCTTAAAACTTTCTCAAATCTTCTTCTGCATGTAATCACGGATTCATAATCATATATTTTGGTTATATATATATATATATAGTCTTATATTGTAACTTGTATTAGTTGTGTTGGATCTTTAATCATTTTGTAAACTTGTTTTAGCATCTTCCTTACGGGGTATAATAGGAAACTTGTATGCGTGGAAACAAGTTTTGACTATATGTATGTGGCATTCATCGTAGGAATATAAATCTAAATACTTCAACAAAAAAATACCATTAATTCGAAATCGAATAGTATACAACAGTATCTTATTTAAAAACTGAATACATGAAACTTTTTCTTAAATCAAATTCACATATACAAATTGTATGACAATAATTAAAAAAAAACTTGAATGAAAATTATTTTTTTAATAAATATTTTCTTAGGAAAAAACCGAATTCGAAACAATTTGAAAAGGAATCGAAACTTGGTATAATAATGAAACAAATATAGTTTTTCCAAATGTATTTTTTTTAAAATCGAATTAAGCTTAAAATGTGCATACTAATCTAAACAATAGGCATACGAAAAAACAAGTCTGCCTGGTGCAAGCGACCATTGTATCTTGTGAAGGGGAACAAAATAAATGAAGACGCTTAAAAATTAAGATAAATAAGATTGGTTCGATAATGACGGGAACATGCAATCATTTTGATTGTAATCATATTCAATTAACTGTCTCTTGGATTGCTGTCTAAGTTAAATTGAGAATAATGATGATAATAACTAAACACATTCAATATATATATGTATATATATATATATATATATATATATCCACCAAATTAGTCAAAGATTCGATACAAAACAGTGACTAAACGAACATCTTTTCGACTGGACAAAGGTGTATAACATGCACACACGCCTACACTTATACGTCCATGTGCAGGTACCGCCATGCTATACAAACTATTAAACAAATGTGGTATATGTATATCTGTGTATATATATATGTATGTGTGTGTGTCACTGTATATGTGTAAAGACACTTATACGACAAAAATTACTATCTGGCGCTTCACATGTGACCCATTTGGATTTCTAGGCTATTTAACACTCAATAATTAGATTGGAGGGCCAAAAAGAATAACGACAGATCTATTTGATTACGGTCCAAAGAAGTATCTTACATTTATTTGATTCGTGTATGAAAGAAGTTGTCGACAAATTAAGAAAACCAATTAACTATTAAGTTTTTAAAAGTGCAAATTATTCAATCAGTTGAAGATTCGTTCATATTACCCAATGTTTTTTTCAATTCGAAAATACATTAAAGAAAATCACAATCTCATAGTAAAATATATATTTAATTTCATGGTGAAACAAAAACGAAGATATGATAACGGAAAGTATTTTTTTTTATACAAGACTGAGTTGTAAGTATCGATCTTTAATTTAGGGTTGTCATCTTGGTCGAGGGCCTTATCCACCTTGAACTCGCGTCGACGCCTTCAACCCTAGATGACACGTGGCAGCCCGAGGGCCCCCTGATTCTGATGATGTGGAGGAGCTGGCCAATCCGCTTGCGCCACCTAAGCGAGGCCCGTGACTTATTGGGGTGCTGAATCATCATCTCCTTCTTCGTCTCCTTCGTGTCGTTATTGTGATCCCGCGAGGAACCCTTGCAATGCTTAAGAGAGATTGTCGGAACTTTCCCTTTGTCCCATGAAGTTGCTCCATTGTCTTCGAATTTTATGGAAATAAATGAATCTATTTAGAAAAAAATATTAATGAGCTTTAATTATAACTTTTAATAATCCATATACAGAGCCAATTAAATCAATGTATGTCCTAGAGATTAATGGTTTCTTCAAATTTGTTTTTGAAGTGTGAGATTTGTAATGACCATTTACACTGTAATATACTAAAATATATCGTTCTTAATTTTCATTGACAATGGATACAATATATATATATATATATAACAATTACTTACAATAGTGATATCCATATAAATTAAGTGTTTGTAATTATCTGTCATAATGGATTTGGAAACGAATCTCCTACTAATTTCATATCACAATGATACAAAATCAGTATCTCAAAAATATATTATATTTAGAAATTAATGTTTGGGGTCCATGTGAGGAAAAATCTGCATCCATGGTTCAAAGTTTCAAAATTTACATAATAAATGTATAAAGCGCCATCGTATAGACTATATAGGCTTTAAAAATCTTGAGTGTTTCCAATTAAAAAATAAAAAATATAAAGACACACCCAAAATAACAAAACTTACATACAAAATGATAGAACCAGAAAATTAAGTACCATTTCAGTAATTTTTTCCAAACCAACAAAATCGTAAGAAATAAAAAGTCAAAATAATAACAAAAAAAAAAGGACGAAATAAAGCGTACCCTGTGGACTGATGACGGAGCCGTGGATATTGTGGAGGTGAGAATTGTGGTGTTGTGATTCGAAGAATCCGAGGAAGGAAGAAGCGAAGGAGAAGAATCTTTTGTGTTTCTTCTTCTTGAAGGAATTAGATTCTTGAAGATTCTGGTTACCATTAATGGTGGGAGATTCTGGAGAAGACGGAGGAGGAGAACGTTCCCTCTGTTGCTGCGAAGCCAACAATAGCAGAAGCCTCTCGTTCAGACAGAAAGGACACACTCCAACCTCAATCTCCTTTGCATGGATATTACAACATGATGATGATGAAGTGGCTTGTCCTCTGTGCCCTTTCATGGCTTTTAGAGAGAGAGAGAGAGAGAGAGAGAGAGAGAGAGAGAGAGAGAGATGAAGAAGAAAACCAATGGCCAATGGGTTATTGTAGAAACTCTGACTTGTGTACTTTGAACTAAGACGAACATGTAGTTTGAGAGAGAGAGAGGCACAACGTTGGTATATGTATTTAATAATATTTATGTATTTAAATATATATGTTAACTTATGTGTATGCGAGCGTTTGTCGTATATGCAATTAGATAGAAGATATTGGCTGAATTTGAAAATTAATTTATCACTCGAATTTTTCATTATTATTTTTCTCCTACTTGAAATAGATTTTTTTTTTCAACTATGGTTATGTTAAGATTTTTCCTATAACATTTTTAACAAAACAAAAAAAGAGATTTTTCCTATAACATCGGTACAACTTCATTATTGGATAATTTTCACTGTGAATACAAAGCAGTTCATGATATTTCTAAGTCAATATACATTAAAACACGTGGCATATACATTATCATATGATTTTGCATGCATGTGGATGTTGCTAGCTTAAGATGCCAATGTGCATGAATGCCACAAGCAATGCAATTATCATGGATGGTGGGGCCCATAAATTCATTTATTTATTTTTGTGAGTGATGTAAGAAAAAAAAAAAGTGCAATTAGTTTTGGAAGGTAGTGTTGTGTTGTGTAATGGAGGAGTTTTGTCAAAGGGACAAAATGCACACTTGGATAACTACTTGTGTCCCCATCATGATTACCATTATTACCCCAAAAAAAAAAAACAATTGCTCATTTTTTTCCTTCATTTGGTAAATTGTTACCCTCCTTTAGGTGAACCAACTAATTCCTTCATTTTCCTAATCTCTAAGATTAGTTGATTGATTGATTTCTGATTTTAGTTTGGTCATTTTCAAGAATTTATTTTTTTTATATAGTTGGTAACACATTTTGTTGATCCATTTTACTTCTTTTGTTTTTTTTATTATATATTTTATGCTTTTTTTTTATAATATCTAGACAAACTCAGTCTTGATGTCTGAATTCTCATTCGGTTTTGACTACACTTGTTCGGATCAGTTATGTTTTTTTTTTAAAAAAAATATTTATTTTCATTTGTTTTTATTTTATTTTTATTTCAAGATTGATTAATTGCTCTTCAAAGATGTAAAACGTGGCCGGACGATGGGGTCATCCTAGTGCGACCATTGGATTCGAAGGGACGACACAGCGACAGGAGTAGTTGTTGATATGATGCGTAATAAATCATTCAATTCATTGGGTTTTGGTCAAAAACTCCAACTTCAAAATTAATTTGTGGGTCTAATCATCATCATTTTTCACACGTACAACATATATATATATATATATATATATATATATATATATATATGTATATATGTATATATGCACACTTTTTTCTGTCTCCAATTTTTGCCACACACAAAAAAATCAAAATTGAATACATTGTATGAATTCATCACAGATGATGAAACAGTTTGATTCCGTGGAAGCTCCCAGCAAAAGCAAAGAACTAAAGAACGTGAAAAGGAATTTTAACAGTTTGATTCCGTTGATCCATTTTTTATTTTACCATAACGATACAGAGATTAAAAAAAAAAAGTATAATACATCCATCCCCTCTGTTAAAAATCCAAAACCTACCAAAGCTGTTAAAGACATTACAGTATATATCATTAAATCCACTCGGTAACCCCCATGAGAGTTTTTAAGTTTAGTTACCAGAAGAAGGTCGCCCATGTTCGTCATTAGCGTCTTGAGTATTATTGTTGTTACCAGTAGTAGTGCCTTGCTGCTGTGATCCACCAAACATTTGCATCATTGATCTCAGAGCACTCGAGAACTCCTCGGGCATCTCCTGCCCGAGCTCGATATTGATATTACCGCCTACTCGGATTTCAGGCTCATCTGAAGGGCTCGTGTTTCCGTCATTCTCCTGATTGTTGTGAGAATGATCTCCATGGAACGCGTTTCCCGTCATGTTCATGAGCATGTTCATGAACTCGGGGTTGAAAGGCATCGAGAACTGGCCTCTCGTGCTCGCTCCACCCGGAAAGTGATTATTCGGTTCTTGATTCTGACCTGTGCTCGAGTTCTGCAGTGCGAAGAGTACAAAGGAAAATGAATCAGTATCTTATGGAACGAACCCGAAAGTAATTGAGTAGCAGCATCTCCCGAGTTATTAAAGTCCATATTCTTCGGACTATTATTAAAAAATTTCATCCAAAAGATTACTTAGAGGTGCAAATACCTGACTGTGTCTTTGCCGTTGCTGCTCTTCTGTCAGTTTTTGTTCAGCCACCTGTGTTTTTGCAACATCTTAATATATCATACTCTTCTAGTAGGTCAAGGAATGGTCACTTACATAGCAGAAACGTGAAAACGAACCCGGATGTTTTCTTTGACAGATTCGTTATGTGGATCCAACTGCAAAGCTGCATGCGTGTGATGAAAAAATTTCAGAGAATCAAATACCCGTAAACAAAAAGAAGCAAAGGTATGACCTTTTCTTTTATAAAAGGAGATGCTGACCCTATGGCGCTAGGCTTAAGGAAGAGATCAGCTAAGTTATCAGAGAAGTTTGAATTCTCCTAGGGATCACATACCTTTCTTAAACCCTTTTTCGATTGCTTCAGCATATTTTCCTTGAGCATAATACGCTAAACCAAGACGACTATACGCCTTACTGTAATTTGGATCAATGTCAATGGATTTAAGACAGTCTTTAATTGCTTCATTGTACTTGTTGATCTGTGTATATGCAGCTGCCCTGATAAAAGAGAAAATCAGAATTGAATTTACTATTGCAAATTTTCTGAGCAATAGAAAATGTTCGAGTATGTTGAAACTTGAAATCAGACTACATGAGAAATCTGTCAGCAAAACACAGCAGCCTTAAGCTTCCAGATACATCATTTTGGGAAAGGTATGTCCAATTACTGAAACATGGAGTTATTATTACTCACCTGTTGCAGTAGAAAACAGCATTGTTTCCCCAAAGAGCGATTGCAAAAGAATACAATTCAATTGCCTCGGAATAAAGCTTGGACTGCATGGCCTTGTTACCTAAAAGGAAAGAAATAATAAGCAGTGAACTAACAGGAGCTGTAATCTATCTATCTCATCATAGTGAGAGACATTGAGGAAGAAAACCATTCTGTGAACTAAGTGACATGGTGGGTAAACATCCTTAACGCGATAACAATGATTATGAGTTCCTCAGTCTCACGGTAATATGTGATGCAAACAAGATGCTGCCGGGGATCTCAGTTAATAGCACAAAACTGCGTAAGTACCTTGGGATTTCAGTGTTTCTGCCAGATTTTTTGCATCAAAAGTCTGACATCCAGACTTTTCCATCTCCTGATAAGCAGATAATAAACCACATCGTCAGTCATCAGTCACAACCCGTGGAAGAAAAATGTTAATGAAATCTCAATGTACAGTAAAGGAACACTAGGAAATAAGCGTACATTTATGGCATCGTGAAATATTCGTGTTGCTTTTTCGAGTAGTGCAGGGTCATCATCTCCATCAGAAGTGTTCCTGAAAAAACGAATTTTTTCAAGTGCACCAAAGAACTGGCCAAACAGCTCATCTCTAGAAGTTCCTGCATGTTAAAACACCACAATTACAACTAAACAGCAAGAAATGACAATTAAGAAGCCAATCCATTTCACTGTTGACAATGCATATCCTATTTCCTCCATGATCGAATGAGCATGAACCAAGCAGCTACAATGCCAATTAGAAAAGAGAATCACTCACCAGTAAACTGAGGTTCTGCCCTCAGATCCCCTGAAAATCTCTGAGTTTCAGAGACACAAGAACTCGGCAAGTTGGGTCCTGAAGAGGAACTAGGGCCATCAATTGTAACATTACGGGTAACATCTGCTCTGTCTTCTTGATGTTCACTCTTGTCCAATGCACTGAACATATTGATCAGAGAAACAGGTTTAATCTGATCATCTCCGACAGAATCCAGATTTATCTTAAACGCTTCTGCTAAGCATTCTTTAGCAACCTCGAGCCCTTCCTCATCAACCCCAGGAGAAGCCTCAACTACACAAACAACACCGGAAACGGATTTCGGTCACACAAATGCACTTCATCTTCACTAATTAAACCCTAATCAACAGGATATTCGCACATAACAACTGGAATTCAAGGAAAAAATGAATCTTGATCACATCAAATTCTCCATCTCTGAACTAATGGACCCAAAGGCAATATCTTTTGAACGCGTAGATGCACATACAAAGACAGACACAGAGAGCGAGTATTTTGTGTTTACCGGCATCGAGAAAGTCCAAGAATGAACGAACAATACGCCGACATATGGGGGTCTCCGTCGTAAGCTTCGCCATGAGAGAGAGAAAGAGGTGATTCTCGAGCTTCTGGTTTCTCTCTGCGATTTGAGCGTCGTCGGTGTTGGGGTCGTCGAGCCAAACAGAAGAGGTGTGTTTGGATACAGGTTTTTGGGTGACCGAGTTTTAACCCTCCGATGAAAAAATCAGGTAAAATCCATTAGATATGGCCTATGGGGAATATGTTTAATTAATCAATCAATAAGACGGTGTCGTTTGAGATAGTCAAACACTATACGACGACTTTTCAATATAGGCTTTAATTGGGCTTTGGACTGTTGATCATGCCGGCCCTTAATGTGCCTTTAACGGCGTCAATGGCCGTGACGTTGTTCTCGACGACTAAACGCCGTCATCTTGTGACGTCTGTTCCACTAGAAAATCAAAATAAGGAAGAACAAAAAAAAAACACTCCCGGGAAAAAGACGAACAAAAGAAGCGGTAGGAATTCTGGAAGCATAATTTCCATGGAAATGAGAGAGATGGAGAGAGAAAAGGAGAGGCTTCGGAACTCTATGTTGATGGGTTGTCCTTGATCTCTTAGTGTGACTTGAAACAGTGAAAATCGAGGTGGATTTTTTTATCCCTTTCGGGTTAACTTGATCCGAAATCCTGTCAATTGGGTTTTTTTATTCGAAATTCTGGGCTTGGGTTATTCAAGTTGTGGAAAATTGTGTGTATTTGTGTGTCGAGGGAGAAATGGAGGAGGGTCGGGTGTTGCGGTGGAGTGTGTTCAGATCCCTTCTCGCGATTCTCCAATGGTGGGCTTTCAATGTCACTGTCATCATCGTCAACAAATGGATCTTTCAGGTTTTTACTCCAATCTATCGTTTCCTAGTTACATGCGTCGTTATTAGAGGCTCAAATTTCGAATTCTGGGTATCGGAAGATTTTTGTATTTTTCGTACTTGTTCCTTTCACGTCCTTCAATCGATTTACATGCCCTGGTGATATTGTGGATCTCCTGTCGTGCTTGATTCTGGAAAAAAAAAACGTTATGCTTTTGGGAACGAACTTGGAGAATCTCCGTTTCATGCTTTATATTTACCTTCTTTTATATTTGTGTGTGTGCAGAAATTGGATTTCAAGTTTCCTTTAACAGTATCATGTGTTCATTTCATATGCTCATCGATCGGAGCATACTTAGTGATCAAGGTACTGAAGATGAAACCACTGATCTTAGTTGAACCAGAAGATCGATGGAGGAGGATATTTCCCATGTCCTTCGTCTTTTGTATCAACATTGTGCTGGGAAATGTAAGCCTGCGTTACATTCCCGTCTCCTTCATGCAGACTATCAAATCGTTCACTCCAGCAACCACTGGTGGGATTTTAAACTCTCTTGTCTTGTTTTCCATGTTCAATTTTTCATTGTTTCCTGTTGTTTTATTTCTGAGTGTGTTTCTTGAACAGTTGTGTTGCAGTGGCTTGTCTGGAGGAAAAGTTTTGACTGGCGAATTTGGGCCTCTCTAGTCCCGATCGTCGGAGGAATTCTGCTTACATCTTTGACTGAGCTTAGCTTCAACATGTTTGGATTTTGTGCTGCCTTGTTTGGATGTTTGGCCACTTCTACAAAGACTATCCTTGCAGAGTCTTTGCTTCATGGATACAAGTTTGACAGGTTGTTCCTTAGCCTTCCTTATGCGCATTTATCCATTTCGATATGAATTTCTCGGGTCGAGACCTGTTGAAATTATAGTTTGATCTTTCTGTTTTCGGGTTATACCACAGATGAATGAGATTGTTTTCTGCTTCTCTTTTATCTAATGATCATGCAGCATAAACACGGTTTACTATATGGCGCCATTTGCGACCATGATCTTGGGAATACCTGCGTTACTACTTGAAGGAAATGGGCTTATGGATTGGTTTCAGATTCACCCGGCTCCCTGGTCACCTCTCGCCATAATTTTCAGCTCCGGTGTTCTTGCTTTCTGCCTCAACTTCTCTATCTTCTATGTTATTCACTCCACAACTGCAGTCACCTTCAATGTTGCTGGGAACTTGAAGGTACTGATAATAACATTAGATGTCACTGGTATCAAAAGAAGTAAACTTTCATCATACTTAATGAGAATCCTCTTGCGGGTTTACCTCTAAACAATCAGAAACCTGGATTTTTACGGTAATCAATCAAGACTTCATGTTCAGAAGTTACTTGACTTGGACAGGCATTCTTCCTTCTGGTGAAGTAATTCTCGACAGCGTTTCCATTCTCGGGTGTTGTCTTGTTGATGTTGTGCAGGTTGCAGTGGCTGTTCTTGTTTCATGGTCGATATTCAAGAACCCGATTTCAGCGTTGAACGCATTCGGCTGTGCAATCACACTGGTAGGATGTACATTCTACGGGTACGTACGGCATATGCTTTCCCAGCAACAACAGCCATCGACTCCAAGAAACCCGGTGGAAATGCTCCCTCTTGTAAATGCTAAAACAGAGGACAGAGTGACTGATTAGAGATTCTACACTTCAAGATCATAGGAGAGATTCTGGTGAGTTGTTACATGTTAGAGTGTTTATTTGCTTTCCGTTGAGTCGACTCAAACCCTACCTAATTCCAGTAAACTTAGAACTAGTTTGGTTATAGAGATTTCCATTGTTACATTCATCATACCATCCACATATATTTATGTATATATGTATATAGCTGATGGTTTTTTGTCTCAAGGCGTCCATGCAATTGGTCTGTGGAGCTTGTCGTAATGTCCAAGGAAAAATGATTTCATGTAGTCATAATAAAGTCGCAGCATCTTCTACAGCTTTATGACAGTAGCTGAAGCAATAAGACGGAGCGTGCTATGATTACAGAGAATAGATTCTTAAAGCAAATGAGAACCGGAAAGAAAAAAAAAAACTTTCTCCAATCCCCATTGATGGTTTCTTGACCAATTTGAATTCACGTTTTGTTAAAACATATAATAAGAGGGTCCAACACAAAATCTTAGTTTATACAAAAACAAGACTCGATATTATTTTATATATATGGTGCCTATGTTAACATGGGACAAGAGAAAGATCCAACATTTAAGACACAATAAACAATAAACACAAAGACTAAAGTCTCTCTCGTTCTCTTGTTAGGACACTGAAAAGGCTAAGAATCCGAATACTAACACCAGGTTTGGATACATCGTAACTGCGTTTGCGATTGTGAAGCTGCGATTGCGTGTGCGATTGTGGTTAGGCCAAGAGCCAGAAATTCTTCTGCCATCGCGTGTTAATAAGATAACCGCTGACGCCGTTGCTTTGTTTCCTGACTCCAATTGTCAAGCAATCTGCACCGTTGATGCAATCATCAACGAACGCCTCGGATCTGCTCAGCCCGCATAAGCTACAAAAGAAGAGAACTGGTTTTAGATCATAATGCACAAGAGAATCGTGATGGGAAGATCTAACGGCTGAGAAGAGCCGACTCACCAGGAGATCAACGGTGAGGGTTTCTTCTGACCCAACACGAGAACTGAGGCTTCGAGCTTCTTCACTTGGCTTAGTACAGTTGCTAGCTTCGGTCCTTGTATTACCAATGCCTCCACTTCTACCTTTTCTTGTCCGTGAAATAAATTATCACTTAATTGTTTAATTAACAACAATTTTTATGGAAAATAACGAGCAAATTCTTGTCTCTCTTTTTTTTTTCTTTTTCTTTGGCCCACACTCCGCTCTCCGAAACTTTTTGCTAATCCTTTTAAATTTTCAATTTTAAAAAAAAATCTTCATTCCATAACAATTTTAAAAAAATTTAAAAAATAATAATTATTAAGATAGTTTATTAGCAAAACTATACTCGAAGTTGCCTAGAATCTCGACCACCTAGAATCTCATTTCCAAACAATAAGAAAAAAACAAACAATAAAATTGTATTTTAATGAAAGCAAAGTAAGAAAGGGAGAAAAGTGAGGATCTAGCACACACATTTACTATAAGATTAATTTCAAATCATACGGATAATTAGAAAAGGAAAATATGTAATTAACCGTGAACATACCTCTGGTTTGCAAGCTTTACAGAGAGAACCAAGAGAGTGAGCCAAAGAAGAAGAAGAGAGAGAAGCATCGTGATGGTGAGGAGACACAACATGAAGAAGAGTGATGAAGTCTCCTTTGTTGGTGACATGCGTCAACGCCCACATCATCGCATGCTTGGACCGCGACGTCTCATCGACGACCACCATCACCCTCTTACTGCTCGTCGTCGCCGTCGTGTCTCCGCCGTAACCTCCGCCGTCGTACATCCCGTAGAGACCCTCCATGTTGGCGGTGTATCCGTCGCCGTCTTCGTCGCCGGGAGAGCTTTCTCCGGCGGTCCACCTTCTAGAAGCCGATTCCCAAGCTTCTTTTCCGCTAAGCTGTCTCAAGAATGAATCTTTCGAAATGGGCATCCTCGGATTTATGGTGAAAAATGTTGAGAACTTTGGGAGAGAGAGAGATTGAGGTGTAGGAGTCTAGAGAGAGAAGTGTACAGTTGAAGTGTGAAGAGAGAGAGAGAGAGGTTTTAATAAGCGCGACAGGGCATTAAGGGGAATCACATGCTCATAATAAAGTTAGATATTAATTACTTTTTACTTTTTTATTCACTTTCCAATCTATAAAAAAAAAAAGGAGCAAGTACATTGTAATAAATACAATGTTCATAATTAAACTATAAACCTAATTGTGTTACGATAACGTCATTGAAACCGATTTGACCAATGATTTGTCAACTTGTGGTATGCGTTTTAAATCTCACTAAATATGGTAATCCCATAATCTTTCTTCTCAGACGCAAATTCACAGCACTTCTCATCGTTATTTTCAAAATATTTTTTTATCATTTTTATTATGTTCATTCATATCTTATTCATGCACCCAAACAGATTTAATAATTGGGTTTAAATAATTTTCAGTTTATTTTTTTTATTTTTTTTAAAAGAGCAATAGAGGGATAGGTAGGTGATGATGATGATTGCGGTGGATGTGATGTGTGATGTCACGGGACGTAGTTTTCACCATCTAATATCAATGCATAAGATTTATTTTCAACTGTTTCTTCTGCACAATCTGTTCATCATTCACAATTCTATTTTTTAAAAAAAATATGGATTTTAGATTTATTAATGTAACACCAGACGAAATTGATTATACCTTTCATAAATCACTTGGAAATTTGTGGGAACGTATTAGACCAGCATGTCGGATCACTTCAAACCATAAGCGGTCGTGGAGTTTGTCTGATTTATCCAAAACTCGAAATAGATAATCATATTTTTCTTGATCTTTTTTAGAATTGAGAGGCTAACTAATGATAATACGTGACACTAAATCGCAAGTATGTAGGGGAAAAAACAAATATTATAATTTATAATGGTGGTACGTAAAGAGATGCATGGTAATAATTGAAGGGAGATGTTACAAGATGGGTTGGATTTTTGTCTGCTTATAAGATTTAGATTCGTGGACTAACCATGTTTTTATTGTTCTTTTGGAGCATAAAGCATTATCGGCATTGGCCCATTCCTATATCTTCATGTATATATCTCTATCAACCGCTTAAATAAAGCCACCGTAATTTGCATCAATTTCAAAAATCATAACATAATCAACAGTTACCACATACAATTTGCATAAATTTTTTTAGTGGGTAGCCGAGATTTTCTAATTCGGATATAAATTTCGCCGCATATAAAATCAAGAATCAATGTAATTATATGATTTTGGGTGGTCCATGAGATTGGAAAGGGGGATCTTATCACCTTCTCGACGTCCTACTGTTCATAGTTTCTTTTTACGTATGCTTCAATTTATGGGTTTCATCTTTATGTCAGATAGATTACTTCATTGAGATCTGCTTCATATCTTCCTTGTCTTATTCCTACATTAGTGTCCCTTGATTTATCAATTGTCTTTTTCTATTTTTGTAATTTTTTTCACATATATATATATATATATATATATATATTATAAGATACTTTGTATATTAGTAATCATTTGAAATAATGTTAAAGAACACTTGAACACCATTAAACCACGAGAGTTCACCCAATTTAATTATATCTCAATTTATAATCAATGATCTGCATTTACTATGACAGGATGAAAAAAAACTTCAACTATAAAATTATTGTAAGAACTATAAGGGCCATAAAATCTGGACTAATCCGACCGGTAAGACACTGTAAAAAAAACGATTTCGAATATATCCTGAAATAGTTTATGGGTGAATTTGAATATCATTTCGGCTTAATCTTTCATTTGATAAATTGTAAAATATAAATGGATTATGTATATAATTGATGTAGCAAATGGAAAGCTATACGTATGCCGTATACGTGATACGTACTATATACTAGCTCGTACACAGTTGCGCAAAAATGTTCAATATTTGTATTCGAAGATAGAAACGGATATTTCTGGATCATTTTCATTTTCTTTATATATATATATATATATATATATTTTTAAAAATTATATATACATTCAACTTGTATATGGATATTTTAATTTTAATGTTACTTCGATTCGATTTTTTAATTATTTTTATTAATCAAATTCAATTAATTTGGTTTAAAAATATTTATATTAAGCATAGAGTTTGTTTTAAATATAATTATATATTATTCCATTTAATTTAACTATATATATTGAACTATTATCGTTTTTGGAGATGTATAATTCAAATTAAAGAGTTGGTGATTTTTACGAAATACAAGCATTTGACACATTTTTATTAATTTATAATGATAATGCAGCATTTGAAACATTTGACCATTCCATGGTCAAATATCAAATCCAATAACAACACAAACTTTTATGCTCCCAATTTCCCTCGAAATTTACATTTGTATAGTGTGGCAAGTATTTTTTTTTTCATAACTCTATAAAATATTGAGAACTTAATTTAGATATTAAAAAAATGAAGAGTACAGAATTGTTTGCTTGTGCTTCCTTCATTCAATTGTCAGACACTCTGACCAGTAAAAGAATCATTTCCCTGACACATTTGCAACCACACGAAATTCCATTTTCTAATTTTTAATAGAATTATACCTTGCAATTTAAATATTTTTTAATTTTATAATTCTAGACATAACTTTTTTTATTACTGTAAACATAGAAATTGGATATTTTGTGTTATGTTTAGTTTCCTTCGGTTTTTATATAAATTTTCGATTTCATTTAAATTTTATTTCTATTACAAATACTTATTTTTTAAATAATGTTATTTATGATTATTTTCTATTTTTATTTAAAATAAAATTTCAATTATTTGTATATAAATTAGTATTTCTCTTATGTAAATATATTTACTAGAACATGTTTCGAAAACTGTAAACAAAATATACACATATTTTTTGTTTGTGTAGATTATCTAAAAAATGTTATGATATCAATTAAAAAAAATCAAATATAATTTTATACGAAAATTGTACCGCACAGAATATTTTTAACTTAACCGACCATCATTTTTTTAATAATTAAAAGTCCTTTATTCAAAATTAAGAAATTATTGTTTTCGATACACACACCTTATATATATATATGTATACGTTGTGTGCCCGTCTCTGTGTGTGTGTTTGGTGATGTAAGTTGTGGTACTTAGTGGCAGCCTTTTCAGCAACCCGTGAACGTCGGAATATAACTCATCATAATCATTGTTATTTGTCATCAGATTTATTCATTATTTATTAATTTTGTCACCACTTAATTGCATTTTCATTTATTGAGTGTTACCGAATTTATAAAAAAAAATATTATCCAAAAAGCTATAATACTATTTTTCCTTCTTTTTGGTGAAATATAATATATAGCAAACGCGTATTTCATGTCTTGCATGATTTCTTCGAAACCCATGAGCGAATTTATGCGATCCCACATTTATGCAATATCATGGTCGAGAATAATGGCTAAACGCCAAGTCAGGATGTGTGTGTGTGCGTGTTGGGAGATTTTGGACAAAGACTGAAAACATCAACAAATCCAATTGATCAAAGAGACTTTTCACAATATTTACACGAGAAGAGTTGGGGATGAAGGAATAAACATTTTGCTCACAACACAAACCTATGAAGGTAGGATCAGAAGAAACCGAGGTATGAGGCCTCTCTGGCTTCAGAGAGCCTTAAGCACAACCTTCCCGGTGGCATGAGCACCCTTAGCTGCTATCTTCAATACTCCACGAGCTTGGTATAACCTGAGTCAATCTCCAATTCAGTTCAACTAGAGTGATATAATACAATACTCGAGTCGAGATTCAAAATCTCAAACCAAACAGAATAGACATACCCTGCACAAGCCAGCCCCCAGGTGGAGAGTGTGTAGAACATCTTTCCTGCATGCCATATATCCACTATTCTCCCTACCTTGCTCAGGGCACTAAGTTCTTTGACCAGAACTACAAAATTAAGCACCCCCTTCATATGAGCGACATAGTACGAGCATAAGACGAGTTTGAAGTTGTCTATGACACTTGAACAGATCTAGGGGATTTAGGAATTCTTCAGTTTGACCACACATATTGTATATACCCATAATTTCACAACATATCCTCACTCTGTATGCGGAAAAAGAGAACGAAACTAAGAGCATCAGAAGCACATTAGTTGAATTTGAAGCTTACCCTTCTGTAGCTCTTCGGGCTTAAGATACTGCAATACCAAAGTAATCAAATTATACTATATGATGATAGACGTAATGATCGTGGCAAAGGCATATGAGTAGAGAAACTACGATACCTTGGCTTTTGGGTTTGAAAGAATGCATTTGGCCAAGAAATGGGCAACTGCTTCCACCACATGCTCATCTGTTACAACAATGTAATGTTCGTTATCGATTGTGCTTTTCTCCTCCACATTGCTAGGGATCATGTCATCCGTGACCAGAACCCACCAACTCGGCTCTTGATGATCCATATCTATCAGAACTTCGACAGTCTGCATATCGTCTCCTGACAAACAAACCAATGATTTTAGCTATCGTCAGCATGCCAAAGCCGTACATGCATACAATACATGAAAGAAATCAACTTTATCCCTAAGAAAATTGACAATGCTCAAAAACTAGAAGACACCTGTGGGCTGTTTGAATGGAAACTGGTTTTGAGTTCCTTCAGCCAAAGCCTTCCTCATTTCTTCTAGCCGAGCTGAGAAATCCCTCGAAGTCACCATCGATAAAAGCCTGGCAAATAGCTGGATCATCAGAGAAAAGGGTCCCTTTTTAATTTCAGCGATTTTTTCGTGAAATATTCAGTCGATTTCAAACTGAATTGATTTAAAACTAATGAATTCAATCGGATAAGCTATGGAAACTACGAACCCTAGACATCAATGCTAAGAAAAAGGGGGAACAGAAGGTGAATTGCATACGTCGCTCGGGCACTCGTGCAATAACACAGCAGTCTCAGCGAGATTCTCGAAGAGCTTCAGATTCGATTCCAGCAAGCTCCTGAGACGGCGATTCTCCAACCGGAGAGCCTCTAGTTCCCATTCTCGAGGATCGGCGATCTCGCCGCTCTTCTCGTCGTCACCGTGGCTGTGATGGTGGTGATGGCAACACTCCACGGCGGTCCACGCCACGTCAGCAACCTCCAACACCGTCTTCGCCACCTCGATCGCGTTGTGACCCGTCATGATCGATCTTCTTCTTCCTCCTCCTCTGGATATGGTTTCTGTATGTTTTTTTATTTTTTCCTGGGTGGATTTTCGAAGGAAACTGCTCGCCGTTTGCGACGTTGCGTGATTGAAAACGATAAGGCAGCTTTATTAATTATTTAAGTAATTAGAATAAGAGTATTTGCAAATACGGCCCCTAACTCTTTAAAATTTACAATTAGGGGTTTTGGGTAAACTTCGTGCCGTTTTCGTGCTTCTTCACCTCGCGGACGCTTTGGGCAATTTTTTTTAAATCAATCTAGTCTAGCACACACTCTTTTCGGTTACTATTTATTTTTGTAGAGAGAGAGATGTCCGGCGATTCGGCGACGGAGGTGGCAACGGCGACGGAGATGGCGACGAAAGCGGAGGTGGTGGAGCGCAGCAATTGCGGTGAGAGCGATACGAAAGATGAAGAGGCGATGGACATCGAGTCTCGGATTCTGTCGGCTATGCGATCCCGCGTAACCTACCTTAGAGAGAAAGCAGAGTAGGAAACACACTCTTATCTCTATTCCTTTTTTTGCCTTTTCCTTTGGGAAGTGTTCTGCTTCTTGCAAAGTAGTGTGCGATTCGAGTATGTTTACATGGTGTTCGAACCTTAGTGGTAGAAGTTCTGGGTTTTAAGCAGTTTTTTCGGTCGAATTAGGGTTCAAGTGGTTTTAGTTTGATTTTTTTTTTCTAAAATAAATGGTACATGGAAAATATCGGGCCTCTTTCGTGTGGGAGTTTCTGTGCTGCTCCGGAGTTTTTGTACTGTTAATATTAAATTCCGAATTAGGGTTTATGTTATGATCTTATCGCGAAATGGAGTTGGGTATTGTGTAGGGTAGGACATAGTTCTTTGAACATATCTACGGATTTTTGCTTCTAATTGTTGAAGTTGCTGGACATGATGGTTCGATTGTGATACTGAGCGTAGAAATGAGGATTAGCTATTGCTGTTACTCTTCTTGAGTATCTTACATGGTCAATGAAGCGACAGTTTCTATGATGTAATCTTTTTCAATTTTCATTGTAGACCCAATAGCCTTACACTGTCATCTATAGCTGGGAAATTGTGAAGCTTCCCTTTTATCTTGTAAGAAAACGTTCTAAATGCTGTTCTAAATTGTTTTTTTTTTCTCTGTGTTCGGACCGGAAATGAAATGTTTCTGATTTTTGGAAGATAATTTTACTTTATGTTACACAGTTTATGGAAAGTGATAATTGTTTTCGAATGAGTTATAGAAAGAAGAATCATATCCACTTTATGTTTGCAGTTCTACATGTTATTGAGTTTGTGATAATTGAAAATTTCTTCAAATGAGTTGTAGAAAGCAGAATCATATTCAGTTTATGTCTGCAGTTCCTTCACCTTTGAGAGCGTGAGGAGGTTGCTGGAGGAGGATTTGGGATTTGAGAAATATGCTTTGGATGTGCATAAGAGCTTTGTCAAACAGCATCTGGTTCAGGTATCCCTCTCTGTCCTGAAAGTGTTTCCCTTTTTTTCTTGGGATAATGGCAAAGGTCTTGTATGAAACAAGATGGTTTAATATTTTTACTCTGGAATCTACAGCTTTCACTGTTTCCTGTGATGGGCTCTTTATATTGTCTGAACTATTCGAGTTCTAAATTGCCTGAAATCAATTGACGGTTCCTTCTTGATGGCAGTGTTTAGAAGGTGCTGAGAATGACGGCGCCTCAGAAAATTCTCAAGAAATTGAAAAAAAAGATGTCACTCCAGTCAAAGAAGCAGCAGGATCACCTAAAGATGATGAGGCAAAGAAAATTTTGAAGGAAGATGCTGCCGGTGATGATGAGAAAATGGAAGATTCCCCTGTGATGGGACTTCTGGCAGCAGAAAAAACATCCAAAACTGTGGCTCAGGAAACAAAGGAAGAGGGCAAAAAAGAAGTCCTCCAGAGTGACATAAAGAAAGCCCTTAGGAAAAGGGCTTCGTATATCAGAGCTAATTCAGAGTAAGTCTATTATGTTATCTTTTCTAAGGTCGTTTCTTTAGTTTCCATATCTTGCATTCTGTGGAAATTGTAGGAAGTAAAATTATGATTTCATTTTTGCCTTTTCTCTTCCCTTCGTAAAATGAACTTGTTTGTTATCAATCACTTGCTCGATGTCAGGAAAATTACGATGGCTGTGCTTCGTCGGCTTTTGGAGAAAGATCTTAAATTAGAGAAGTATGCTCTTGATCCGCACAAGAAATTCATCAATGAAGAATTAGATGAAGTGAGTATTTTTTATTTATTTATAACGTTTATCATGGTGACTTGGAAGCACAACTTGTGACCATTTTCTTGGCTAATTAGGTTCTGCAAGCTCCTGATGCTTCAAAAGCTTCTACTGAAGCTAAGGGGAAAAATCTAAAGAAAAAGGTCAAGAACATTGTATCTAAGAAGCCTAGCAATGACGAAAATACTGATTCAGATGGTGAGGATGATGACGAGGAAGAGGAAGAGGAAGTGGCTGTCAGAAAGAAGAAGGGTCCAAAAAGAAAAATAACAGAGTTAGAGGGGCCAAGAAAACGGAAGCGTGATAAGGAGAAAGCGATATCCATGAGGAAATCAAAACCTACAGAAACAGATTCACATAGTGATAGTGATGGGGCAGATGGTGAAATTGTGTCGGATGATGGGCGTTCTCAATCCTCTTCTGAAAAACCCTCGAAGGTATAAAGATTGTGGTTATTATGTTCTCACAGATCTTTTAAACTGTCTCCAAGTTTATAGATGTGGTTTCTGATTTTTGGGTGATTCGACGGGCAGAAAAAGGAGGCCGCAACTGCTGTGTACGGGAAGCGTGTTGAGCATCTGAAATCAGTTATCAAATCTTGCGGAATGAGGTTCTAATCAAATGCCATAGCATTTCAAGCCCAAATCTCTCGTTTCCATACTCAAATCGCTCGAATGTTTTCTGCAGTGTCCCTCCTTCCATCTATCGGAAAGTCAAGCAGGCTCCCGAGGAGAAACGTGAGGCAGCTCTAGTGAAAGAACTCGAGCAGATACTTGCCAAAGAAGGGTTGTCTTCAAATCCTTCAGAGAAAGGTAAGGTTTTATCATTGGATTCTCTCTTATTGTGGCATTACTGTAAAGACCATGACACAACTTGAACAGATTATGCCTTGGACGATCTGGCGGATGCTTTTTTGGTTGTAGGAAACTTGAAATTATACAGTAAACGATCCTTCTGTTTGTTTCTATGTCAGAGATCAAAGAAGTGAAAAAACGGAAGGAAAGAGCAAAGGAGCTCGAGGGTATCGATACTAGCAACATTGTATCGAGTTCAAGGAGGAGATCCGCCACGAGTTTTGTGCCTCCACCAAAGCCCAAAATAACAGAAGAAAGCGAAAGCGACGATTCTGAAAACGGAGAAGAGGATGAAGAGGAAGAAGAAGAAGAAGAAGAAGAGGAGGAGGGTAATGAAGATGCTGGCGAGGCAAGCCAAAGCGAAGAAGAATCAAACGACGGTGAGTAATTTATTCATCTATCTATCTCCTGTTATTGACGGGTCGAAAGTTAAAAGAAAGAATCATTTTTTTTTCTTTTTTTCCGGCCTCGTTTGTTTGCAGAGGAAGACGGGGATGAAGATAGCGAATGATTTTCGGGCCATTGGCTCTCCGCTTGGATTCCAGGCTTGCAAGTTAGAAAACAGTTTGGCGATTTAGGAGGCATGGGCTCTTTGTAACTTTTAGCTGTTATCATATCATATGTTATTATGACCATAAGAGCTTTTAATTTCGAACCATAAAACAATGGCATCTTCTATTAGACAACACCCAGGCTGTAAAAACCTTGCTTCCATCACCGTGTGAAATTGCAGGCATAGAGAAACAATTTGTATTCTGATTCAACCGCAGGTAGCAGCCCGGTCGGATCATATATATATATATATATATATGTATATATGTATGTGGGAGAGGAGGTTTTTTGAAATTAATTATTTTAGAAACTTCCATTTTTTTTTTATATTTTAGTTGTGTTGCAATGCTCGCTATCAGGAAGAGC